ACCCCATACGCCCTCTGCTATTGAGACAGGAACGCCAGGAACGCGAGGAACGCCAGGAACGAAAGCGGGCTGGTTTATTGAGCGTAAATAATACGATTCGTAGGAAGTGCTTTCATTTTGAACATCGTATGCCCGCCCCAGAACGGACGCTATTTTGGGACCTCATTTGGTGTGCCTCATCTCGCGTGGACAATGAAGACAGTCGCGCCGTCCTCTGGCGTCCAAAGGCCAAACACGACAACAAAACCCTTGCGGATATTCTGATCGGCTGCAAACGACAAACACAGCCGGAGCGGGCAGGGACAGAAACAAAGACCGTTGCACGGTGGAGCGTGCCTGTCAACGTCCAGAGGCAGCATGTAATTACGTCGTAGAAATTACAGAGGACGTCGTAGGGGGCCATGGTGAATGTGGAAATGTTCCCTTTCCGTGGTCCCTCCCAAATATCCGAAACGAACCTCCCAAACGACGGCGAAACGACGGCGAGGCAGCGGGACAAAAAGAAGAGTAAGATACTTCGTACGGGGGGCATGCGTCGCCAAAGAGCAACAGACCGCCCGCACGGCTCAGGAGACCGATCCTCCACCCGTCGCGGGAACATCAGACGAAGGAAAACCCAAGCACGGCAATCCATGCTGTGTTGTTTGCGGGCAGTCTTTTGGCTCTGGGCTGTGCCTTTGTAAAGCTGCCGTCACGAAGAGGCGGTCTGGCTAGTCGGATCGTCTGGGTCCCGCCGAGGTTGGGGCTTTTTTGGGTGCCTGCATGTCTGTTTCTGGATTGCCCTTGGCGGACGGCTGGATCTTCTACGAGAGTACCAAGTATTCGCCTTCTCTTCTGATTTCCGCTGAGGGGAGATGAGCCTGAGGATGAAAAAGGCCTGGCTGCTTCTTGAAGAACTTTCTCGCTAGTCCATCCCAGCACAAGTCGTAAAATAAAGGGGAATGGGGCCACATTGCAAATTGCATCCGCTCGTCATGGGTTGGGCCTGGCCGTTGAGACTTTCTTCCAGAACGTGTTGTCGTCCCCTTTTCCGTATGCCGCAATTGTCAACTTGCCCTTTCCAGCATTCCGGTTCAATGGACCCTGGGAGACGACGACTGTAGCCCGTTTCTGGCCGACTGGTGCTGCCTTTTTTCTCCTCATCTCCTCTTTTTATTTCCTTTTATTGGTTCTCTCGGCGCTCTACTTCTGTACTTTGCAGGAAATCCCTCACTCTGGAGCAGCAGCTTTCTTTTGTCAACGCAACAAAACGGACTAGAAACCGTCTTGAGACCAGCCGTGCAGGACCGAGGATCCATCTTCTCCAGCCCCCATGCACCATGCGATGCAGGAGGACGACACCGGAGGAGACAAGAGCTTGTCTGTCCCAGTCTGCCTCTGCCTCTGCCAACGCCTTCATTCTCGCAGCCTATCCGGCCACCAACCCGAGAACCAAAGTCAGGCACCAAACACACGACGTAGCGAACCCAACAAACGTTGCCCAAACGTTGCCTGTTCAATTGCTGGAGTTATTCCGTGGAACTGCCTGGCTCACGCCAAATTTGATACAGCCCCCTTTTTTCCAGACGACAGACGTGCGACATACTGTAAGATACAGAGAGAGGGCCTTCAACACGACTCCACTGCTTCCATGAGCCAGTGCCATGTTCCTTCCTGTTTTTAGTTTTCGTGACGTTGCAAGGGTCGCCACACTGTGTAAAGGACAATTGTACACTGTGCGATGACGGTAGCCTCCCATCAAACGGGTTTCTGCGCGGCACACAGTGTCAAATGCAGAATGTGTCTGCCCGACAAGCAGGAAAGGCAAGAACAGCAAGAACAGCAAGAACAGCAAGAACAGCAAAACAGGCAGGAGCCAAGTCGCCCCCATTCACGACGCCTCATTCGCCCAGCCCTGGACACTGGGACACTGGGTCGGTCCACACATGCAAGAGTCAACAGCCAAGGGCTCCACACCCCCTATTCTTTCGACGAGTGGTTTTTGGTATATTCTGTATTCTGTAGTCTTGTTCTTTCCTTCCTTCCTGCCTCCTGCCTTCTTCCTCGCCGCCTTCCATTTTCCCTCGCCCCGTTCTTGCCGCCGCCCCAGCCGTTCCTTCTCTCAAAGAGACCTGGAGACTAAAACTCGTTCTGTCTCTGCACGACAGCTCCTAAATGGCCCTCCTGACCCACCTAGAACGAGACGATGCACGGGTTCAATACGGAAAGAACATATTACGGAGAAATGAACGTCGTATTTAATAGGTATTTCGTACGTGGTACGCAGACACTCCACCGTTCGACACCCATCTTCAAGTACCAGGCTAAACGGTCGTTTTTCCTACTACACCCGATACGACCGTTTTGTCTTGGCAGACGCGGACGAGACGAATGACCTCAAGTCTCGACTGCAGGAAAATCTTGACAGGTCGACTAGCTGAAGGGCCAAAACTATGGCCAAAATGACATCCGTGGAGATGACCTGACCTGACACGACCGAGACGACCTAAATAAAGGACAATTCCACACACAAACGCCTCCCTCTACTTCTTCGCCATCTTACGTCAAAAGTGTCCACTTGTAGGCTGTGCCTGGCAAAGTATATGCTACTGTATCTTATCATACGTGACAAGGGCAGAGGTACTTACGACATACTTGTCTGCATGCCTGGTTGACTTTGTCCAGTGCTACGCCGCAATATAATAATTACAGTGCTTGTCAGGTGCTTGTCAGGTGCTTGTCACCGTTCTTTGACGGTCTGCCCAGGTGGCGCCTTCTCTCTGGCGAGCCGTAACCCAAAATGGCTCTTGCCCGGCAAACCGCCATCCCCTCGGCACGCCATCCGTCAAAACGGTCGTATCGGAAACAACAAAATCGGTGACTGTGTTCAGAGGCATGTGAGTTGCCTGCGTTGGGGGATGGAGGACGAGACGATTCTCGTCGCGAAATTGATTTCATTACCAGGACAGCATCTGACTGCGGCGGAGCGACGAGACATTCATGATTGCGCTGGATGGGACTGATTTCACTGCCACGCACTTTCGCCGTAGCGAGAATAGGCCCTGTAAATTACAATGGAGCAACGGATTAAATACGGAGAAAATGCGTACTTTGTAGACGTCCTACGTCCTCAAGGTCCTCTAAACGGCCACACCGCCCCGTCCTATTTTGCAGTCGCTCTTTCCTGTTTCTGCACCCACACCAGGAGACCAGCTGCGCGCCCATGCTCCATTCCGTTTTCGCCCTCCACTAGAACGCCGTCCGCTGCAGTGTTTTTCTAGTGTGTTTTTGGTTGTCCGAGTTTTCTGGGGCCTCGCTCTTCGTGCTTTTGTTTTCTCAACCTCTCGTTCGCTCCTTCCTGCCCTCCGTTGCCCCCCATCGCCCCCCGTCTGTCTGCTGCCTTTTACTGTGGTCCCTTCTCGCCTCTCCACTTCGTCATCCCAACCCTTCTCTGCCTGCCCTCTCCTTCCTCCTTTCGACCCCCATCATTTTCCCGCTCCGTTTTCTCGGCCACTACTGTACGTCTTTGCCCTCTTCGTCGTGTCCCCGTCGCTCCTTCCCTTCCCATTCTTTTTTTGTGTCGTCTCCAGTTTTTTGTTTTCCCTCTCTTTCCTCTTACCTCTTTCCTCTTTCCTCTTTCTCTCACGACTCCCCTCCACCTCTTTCTTCCTTCTCCTTCTCGCTCTTTTCTTTTTCTCTTCACCTCGTGTTTCGTCCTTTTCTCCTTCTCCCTCTCTCCCCTCATCTCTTTCTTTCTTGTCCGTCGCGATCGCAGGAATACGTCTACGTGGTTTCTGTATCTTTGTCTTCTCTCTCGCCTCTCCTCCTTCGCGTTCCTTCTCTCGACGAAACCAACCGACAAATCCCATCACGACGACCAAATTCACTTTTGTGTTGTTTATCCGCCCTGTTTGGTCCTACGTTCCGACTTTCGACTTTCGATCTTCAATCGTCTCCCAATCCTCCAGGCCTCTAAATCCTCGACTCGATACACTCGGTTCACTTGGACACTGAACGGGACAACACGCACGGCATTGGACAGCTTGAACAAGCCGTAGCAACAACCCAAACCTTTGGGACGAACGTGTACTGATTGCTCTGCTCTTCTTGCCACGCCTTCTTGTTCACGAACCTTAAAAACCCTATAAACGACGTATCTCTTGCACATCCTTTCGTTTCCCTCGCCAAAATTTTTCTGTCTGCTTGCTTTTTGCATCCTTCCCCCAAGCTTCGATATCCTTTTTTTGATAACTGCTATCTCGACTGCTCTTCAACCTCTTTTTACTACGCACGAACCTTTTTTTTCTACGACTTCGCCTTACCTACGTCTTTGTCTCGCGTTTTCAACGAACCACCAGCTTTTTCTTCCCCAGCGACAGCCAGCTCGTTCCTGTTTACAGGTCAGTTCACTTAACTGTTGCAGCTCGGCTGCTTTGTTGCCGTTGCCCCAGCAAAAGAGAATCAATCGATCTCAATGCCACTTTATTTTCATCGAGGATCAAAGTGAAGGGACGCGGTTCTAACATTGATTTGTTCCATCAGCACTTACGTTTTTTTTTGCATCTTTCGAATCAATCATCGATACCGCTGCCGGTGTACGCCTTCGTGTCCTCCAGTCCTTCGATCTCGTTCATCTTCTTGCAACGAGGACACTTCGACCCTCAAGGTCCAATAGTACCACCTATCCCCGACAGCTGCATTATCGAAACCGATTACCTATGGCTTGCTTCTCGAATTAAAGCAGTTGCAAACTTCCTCTCCGATCGTTTCGATCGCTCTTTTTGTGTCTTCTTCCGCCCTCTGGACTCGTACCGATTTCGTTGGCGAGTAAGTCGAGTTTTTGTTTCGAATAACTCCTCACTTGCTCTCCATCTCCTCTTGTTCCCGAGTGCCTTGAAGTAGACCAAACTTGCCTCCTTTCATCTTTATCTACTATCCCTACGTTCCTGGATTGGTTTCGTTCGGTCCCATCGCAAGGCCCAACGAAATCATTCTTCCTTCTCCTCACACCAACCGCCAAGATGCCTGGAGGCGTTTGTGCCGTGCTCGACTACGAGGTCGAGCTGATGGCCGAATATGTCGCCGAGATGTCCACCCGCCTCGCCATGGGCACGTCAAGAGCCCCTGACTCTTTCCGCAAGTTCATCTCCCAGATCTTGTCGTCCACCCGTCTGCCGCGCACGACCATCCTGCTGGGCATGAACTACTTTGCGAAGCGCATCAACATGATGAACATGATGAGCTCCGGCCAGCTCACGCTCTCGGAGGGTCATGTCTGGCGCCTGTTGACCGTGGCGCTGCTGCTTGGTAGCAAGTTCCTCGACGACAACACCTTCCAGAACCGCTCGTGGGCCGATGTCAGCGGCATCCCTGTTCGTGAGCTCAACAAGCTGGAGCGCGAGTGGATGGACGCCATTGGCTGGTGCCTGTACGTCAACCTCGACCGCAGCGAGGACTACACTGCCTGGATCAACAGCTGGCGCGACTGGGAGGCTGGCAAGAAGCGCATGCAGAGACTGGCTTCGATGACCATGCCCATCGACACGGACTACGCCAACAACGTGGCCCGCCACAACAGCACCGTTGCCTACAACACATGGCACCAGGAGCAGATTGCCGAGTACGAGCGCCTGTCAAGAGTTAAGCGCAACGAGCAGGCCATGCAGCAGAACTACCGTGCCCACGACCAGCAACCATCATGTTGGCCCTACCAGCCACACGCTGACCCATGGTCTGGGGCTCCTCTGACGCCGCCCGACTCTGGCTACGGTACTCCCGACTACATGAACTCGGCCGCTGCGATGAACACGCAGTATGACGATTGGTTCAACCAGCAGGCACAGCAGGCTGCCAACCGCGCCGCTGCAAACGTCACATACGGCGCCGCCGGCCGTCATCACCAGCAGGCTCAGCCGTACCCCATCTCCGCCAACCCCACGCCTTACCACTCCCGCAACGTCACGGCCAAGCTGCCCACGTACAACTTCTACGGTCACAACATCTGGGAGAACAGTGTTGACAGCGCAGTGAACGGCATGAACGGCATGAACTGCATGCCCCACGGCCACATGGGCAAGCAGGCATCCTATTTTGGCGTCTCGCACCCCTATGGCCAGCCTGTGATGGGCTAAGCTGTCAGCGGCTTCTGACTTGCTTTGGCGCCTGCTTGGCTCCTCTTATCGCTTGATTTTCAAACAACAGTGTCACGATACACTGACAAAAAAGCACGCATGATTTGATGTTTCGGATATTGATTTTCCTTTTCCTTTCTCGGTTTCTTTTTCATTGCTCTGCCTTTCCTGTTCTGGCCGCCGACCATTATTTTTTTTATTCAACCTTTCGAAGCACTCGACACCAACCGTCCCTGACGTCCGTCCCACTTTTGCCAACAGGAGGGGATATTTGCAGGGTTGGGTTGTCTATCGTCGCCATTCGTACCATTTTCTTACGGCTTTCCTTCCGTCTTCTTTTTCGATTTAATGACTTGACATACGGCTTTTTGTGTTTTTCGACACCCATACACATATCATCTACTGGCGTTTTTGCGGATTCTGATTTTGCGCCCTAATATCCCCCCGGTTTGGATCCATTCGGACTTTTCTTGGCATCATCACATTAAAACGGTCTTGATTTTTTTATTTTTTTTTGCCTCCAGGTTTATATTCAGTTTTATCATTTTCTCTTTGGTCTCTTTTTTCTTTGGCCCCATATTTTTCCTCGTCCGAAGTTGGCCACAAGCCCAAAATATTACGATAAAACAAACACGTTACGACTTTATTTACAACAAAAAGACCAGAAAAAGGAAGCGTTTGACACAGCTATTTCAACGAAGCCATTTTCTCTGATGCCTCCATTCTGCGGACGTCTTTTTTTTCCTCGCCGGATGAATGCAAATGCACCGGCCACGACATTCTGATAATCTGGAAATCACGGACGCGATAAGGGCTGGAGGCACGATAGGATGCGGTGGGCCGTCGACAGTATTGGACATTGGACCACAATTTGACCTTGGATTGTGCATATATTTTTATTGACCAACACTACGAAATCGGGACCGTCTGCAGCTTACCTACGCCATCTCTCCATCGACTTCATTGGCCACATCGTTCGACACGAACCACGTCCTTGTGGAGACACCAACGACATCAACTTCCACTGTCACTCGGCCTCTTCCTTGCATCCAAAAGTTTCTTGCGGGCCACTTTTTTCTTTGGTTCTTTTTGTCCTTGGGTCTTTACATCTTTCTATTTTTTCATGTGTCCTCTATGTTCTTTACATTGCACTTATTTTCCTAAAAGGTGGGAATAGGCTATCTGCGTCTTTGTCGGCTTTTTTTGCTTCATTCTGATTACACTTCATTGCATCACGTTCGCGGTATCGTTGAGATTTGCCTTTTGGGTTCCGGTTCTGTTTCATGATAACCTATTTCATCGTTTTGTTTATTTTCTTTGCTTGAGTCGTTTTGTTCACGTTTATTTCTTCTTCCGCCGAGCATTACTTTGTTGGGCCCTGGCGGGTAGAGATCATCTTGCTGTCTACCGCTTCATGGCCAACGGTATACCGAGCGCCTCTTTTTATTTTATATTATTATTTTTCTTCTTCTCGCGGTCCTATCCCTTCCGCTCGCTACCTTTTAGATACCGTCACATGCGGCTCCCAGCCATTGCTTGGGCTTGCATGTTTTTGATACCTATTATTGATTCACTCAATCCATTTTTACCACCATCTGTTCGCTCTACTCGTTACTGGTGCCTTTTTCCCTATGTGTCATGCTCCTTTGTTTCACTTTTTTTTTTTTCGATTCCCTGCTCCTCTTTTTGCATTTTCACCGCCTGCACTACTACAGTGTTTTTCTCTTTTTCGTCTTCTTATACCTCTTTGCCCTATGACGTTTTTGATGAATTATCTCAGTTTTATATATATATATATATATTCTTACTAGGACATTGTGAGATGCTTTAAAGCCGGGGCATATCTTGCACCCAATAGTTTTTACCTATACCAAATACCAAAAAACCACATTGTTCCAATAATTTGTCAATGACGATGACAGTGTCAGAACACCACGTAAAGCGACTTGTACATTCTCTGTTTCTATTTAGAAGCAGAAAGTACAAAGTAGATGTATGTGTAGGCAATGAGTGTAGACCGTAAATTTGTCCGAGACAGGAACAAAAGAAATGTCCAAAATGTGTAGAAAAAAAAAAAAAAAAATAATATTTAGTGACTAAAGCCTGTGGCATGTCAGACTAATGTTTTCTGCCGTTTCTATTTTGTTCGTACTCCATACTGTATGTCGTACTTTTCTGTTTTAGTTTCGGCAGCAATAAGGAAAAGTCTCGTGGTGGCTGAAAGAAAAGCAAGTAAAAAAAACCGGAATTCGCCTGTGCTGGGGTCGCTCGAGTGGAGCATGGCTTGTCAACCAATGAGAGCTGATTAGGTAACGACCTCGAATGTGTCTCCACTCTTTTCGTTCCTGCCGCGACAAAGCATACGTGACGACACCTTCTGGGCAGCGACGACTCTACGCTGTAGGATGACGGACAGCGTACTCGAATCCAGCCATTGGCCTCCCTTTTTGTCGTGTTGCAATCACTTGTACGAATTTGCCAGACAATCCTATCATGTCGTCCCGCTTCGTGTCGGGCGGCGCCATTGACGCCGCCACCGGCGATGCCGTCGACCTGGCCCAGGTGAAAAAGCAGCAGGCGGCGGCGTCCACGACATTGACATCGACGGCTGCGCCGACGCCGACGCCGACGCCGACGCCGACGCCGACGCCGGCGGCGGCCCCGACCGCGCGCCAGGCCGAGTGGGCCGCCGTCGAAAAGGAGCTCGAGGCCGAGCGCCAGCGGCGCGCCGCGGCCCGCACGGCACGGGCGTCCGGCGCCGGCCAAGAAGAAAAAAGCCTCTACGAGGTGCTGCAGGCCAACAAGGCGGCCAAGCAGGCGGCCTTTGAAGAGGAGCACAGGCTCAAGCACCAGTTCCGGGCGCTCGACGAGGACGAGATTGCGTTTCTGGACGGCATCGAGGCGGACGCGCGCGCGGCGGCGGCGCGCGTGGCGGCCGAGACGGCGGCCGGGCTGGATGCGTTCCGGGCGGCGCAGACCAAGAAGAGCATGCGGGGCGACGGGACGGCGGCGGACGCAGAGGAGGAGGAGGAGGGTGACGGCAACGACAACACGATTGACAAGCTTGTGGACGACGGGGGATGGGCCGTGAGCGGACAGAAACGGAAACGGCGCGCGGACAAGACGGACAGGGCGGGCGCATTCCCGAACCTGAGGCGGAAAGGCAGTTCGGCGGAGAAGGAGACGGAGGCGACGAAGGCGGCAGCTGGTTCTTCTGCGTCAGGCACGACACAGGCGGCTCCCAAGGCCGCAGCAGCAGCACACGCACCATCAGCTACTACTGCATCAAAACCGAAGCCAACACTTGGGCTCGTCGCCTATGGATCGGACGACGACGACGACGACGACAGCGACTGATGACGCTGACAATATGTTCTATGTACGATATTTGTGTTGCTATTTGTGTTCTTGATACCACTTCCGTTGTAGCCGGCCTATTTGACTTGAATTATGCACAGGATACACTGATCTGACTGCCCTGTTTTTAAATGGTCTATTTCCACGTGCCGCCCTTCCACCGCGGTCAAGATGGATGCTTTTATATACTTTTGTGCTGTGCTTTTCCCGACCGCCCCTGTAAACAAGAAATAAAGAATAAGAGCAGAAAACAAATGCCCAATGACGCAAAATATGGAGATGGGAAGAAGGGAGAGAGAGACACAGAGGAGAGCTATCGTACAGGAGATGCTGGCAGACAACGTGGAGACTACACCAGCACTACTCATCGTCCAGGTTGGCCACGTTCGGCCGGAACTTGTCGTCGCCGCGCCACCTGCGGCCCGCCCACCGGCCCAGCTGCCGCAGCTTGCCCTTGGTCCACCCTTCGATTTCCTCTTCGGGCACCGTGATGGCGCGCGCCGCCGCCTCGTCGGCCGCCGACAGCACAAACCGCCGCATGCGCTGGCCGATGCGCGGGTCGACGACGACGGGGCGGCGCCACGGCGTGTCGCGCGTCGCCAGCGCCGGGTCGTTCTTGAGGTCCTCGGCGCTGTCGGCCCACGCCGACTTGACCCAGTCCTTCTCCTCGTGCGCGAGCGCCGTCTGCTGCTCGCAGCCGTCGTCCGCGTCGCCAAAGCCCCCGGCCACGGCCTCGCGGTATTCGCGCGTGGCGGCGGCAAAGCAGACGGCGGCGACCTCGCGGCCGATGTCGTCGGCGAGGCGGCGGCGGTGGAGGAAGCGGTAGATGCGGATGGGGGTGTTGAGGAAGCCGAGGAGGTGGGGGAAGGGGATGGGGACGCTGGGGCCGAGCTCGGCGGGGATGAGCCGGGGCAGCGGGCTGGAGGGGTAGTCGTCGACGGAGTTGTAGGGCACGGGCTGGGGCGGGCGTTTGGGGGCGGTGTCCTCGGGCTTCTCGTCCGGCTTGGGTGTTTCTGGGGTGTCCGGGGTGTCCGCGGTCGGTGCTGGTGCTGTCGGCGAGGCATCCAAGTCATCGGCCCCTGTTCCTGTGGCGCCGTCTGTGGTCGTGTGCTCGGCCGTCCCCACCGGCGCTGCTGCCGGCGCCGCTGCTGGTGCCGTCAGCGGCCCCAGCCAGCCCTCGTGCAGGCCGCGCACGTACTCCTTCCACGTGTGCCGCCCAACCACAATGTCGCCCTTGACGCCCGCGTACTCGGGGATCCCATTGCGCGCCCGCACCGTCGCCACCACGTCGTCGTCGGTGGGCAGATCGGCGTCTGTTGGCACTTCTGTTGTCGTCGTAACATCTTGCCGCCGTGTCCGCCGCACCCGCTCCGCCACGACGGCCCGCACATCCCCCTGCCGCCGCCCCACCACAAACTCCCAGTCCAGGCCGCTGCTCGCCAGCACCGGCTTGATGTACTCCTTGAAATGCTCCTGCGCCGCCCGCAGCCCGTCCCCCGGCGGCGCCTCCAGGTACACCGTGACGCGCCGCGGCATCGCGCTCGTGTCCGGCAGCAGCTCGCGCGCCAGCGGCGCCACGGCATGCGCCCAGCGCGCCGTGGCGCGTCTCTTCTCGCGGCGGTCGTAGACGATGGCGGCGGCCAGGGTCGAGCTGACGCCCCAAAAGATCAGCCAGTTGCGCGACGGCAGCTTGCGCGGCAGGCTGGGGAGGCCCATCATGCGCAGGGCCGGGTTGACTGGCTTGGCCGGTTTGGCCGGCTTGGGCGCCTGCAAACGCCATCATTGCGTTAGCCGTGATAAGAGGAGAGAGGTAAGAGGAAACAAGGAATGGAGGAGAGCAGAGAGGGAGGGGGACGACGCGAGGGACGTACCGGTTTTTGGTCTGCCATGGCGCTGGTGGTGCGGTGTGTGCGCTGTCGAGGTCAATTGGTGTTTGTCCAAGTCGGGTCGCAAGTAAAGGCCGTCTTGCCGTGGTGTGCGGTCGTGTCGTGTGGTGCACTGCGTCTCCCTCCACGAACCGACGTCAAATGGAGGGGACCGCAAAAAAAAAACTGATAAAAAAGTGGCCTATCCGATAAGCCGTATCGCCCGCCGGCATGACCCGCACTGGCAGGCGGGACTGGCCCGTTCGTGATGACTAAGCAAATCTATAAACGGTTTTCGGGAAGAGGCACTTGCATTCCATCATCAACAACACAGATGCCAATCAGGTTGTGGTTGGCCATTGATCTGGTTGCGCTATGCAGGAGCACCCAAATACCCAGTAGACATAAATACATGCAGGTTTCCTTGTCAAAGACCGCTGCTTCACCACTGCGTTGGGCTCGCGCGCCGACCTGGTTATGGATAAATGAATGAATTGACTGGACCGCATACTGCCAGCAGTCCGGAGTACAGTATGTCGGACGGTCTTCCTAGTCTCTTCGAAGGACACACCGCGATTGTAGACTTGTTTGAATGAATGCGACCTTACAAGTCCTGTCGACTCAAAATCGTTTCAAAGGGAGAGATGTGAATGACATGGACAAAGGAGATTCATAATGAAATCAAGAACATGGACGGTGATCTGTTTACAGCACGCCCAGAAAGCTACACGGGATCCATTGCATTCCTTAACTTGCAAGCTTCTTTCGTATACGTTACGAGCACGACAGTTCTGCGTTGCCATGTCGTCGATGTCTATCCAAGACGCGCAATTTTCTGCTCTTCAACGTCCTTGTCCGCCCACCTACGTCTTGCTTCCTTTCCTGCGTGTCTCATGTCACCTCGGGCCCTTGGTCCTCTGGTCGTCGTAGATCGGTTAGCAGGTCTGCTCTCTGCTACAGTATGTCGTGCGTCGCACTGCTTGCATCTCAGGCGGCCACGCGGTGCATGTGCATCGAACCATTCCCGGCCACACAGGCTGGGCAGGTCCCAGAGCGTCGATCGTCGAGCGTCGAGCCCCAGAACGTCGGGTACCTTGGCAAAATCATGACTGGCAAATGGACTGGACATCACTTGCAGCCACAAAACACATCTCGGTTGCGGCCGTGTTGATCGCAGCCTGCACGCCGATCGGTCGTACATGTGTACATACGTACATACGACGTACACAGCACGCCGTCTGGCCGTGCACCTACAGCGACAAAATCCCAGTCAAATCGCTTGCCAAGCCGGCCCGTTGTTTGCTGCCGCTTGGCGAGAAAACAAATAAAACGGATAAATGGAAAAGTGGCAAAGAATGGCCAATTCCCCAAGAGAGAGAGGGAGGGGCGTGTAGTTTCCAGACCGTTTGATGTACTTCCTTCATGTAAAGGTTTTACGAACAGACAAAAAGATGGCAAACAAACGTCGAAAGACAAAGTCAAAAGACCAACGCAAAAGACAAAAGTCAAAAGACAAAAGTCAAAAGACAATCTGCCGACAGAGCTGTAGCGTTCTTTTCCTCACCCTTGCGTCTTGTGCCAACGATTGCTCGTGACAAACGCCGTACAAAGTATGTTTGTTCGGGAGCCTTCTCGCTTCTCGTCCCTGCAACGTTGGCATTTAGCCGGTTGGCTTGGCCCTACCCGCCCTTGTATTTTTTTTAGAGTAGGAGAGCAGACAACTCGACTAAGATTAAACTACACGCCCCCTCCCGACACAAGTTTAGTTCTGTGAGGAGAAAAGAGGGTCTGACCGGTTAAATGTGAATTTGTCGGGATTCTACGAATTATGTGTTTGGCCTTTTTGAGTATTTTCTGATGGATGCCTCTTTCTCTCACTTCGCGGCACGGACTGCTCTTCTGGTGGGATACACTTGACTCTTTGTGGACCTACGAATATACAAGTCAACTGGAGCCGAGGCCGAGGCCGACAACCGTCTCGGTTTATATTGTTTCCCATTTACACGTGTACTGGTTTGTGATTCTGGGTTTCCATTCAGCGTCATTGTTCTTGTCTGCGTTCTTCTTCTCGGTTGTCTCGTCACCAGTCTACTTTCCATTGTGGCACACTTCTTTGAAGAGGGTGGGGGTATATAACCATATTCATTTGTAGAGTAAATTAAAAAGGTAATTTCATCATGCTAATTTGGGGCATCCAAAATGACATTTTTTGCAATAAAAAAACAAAAACTGAGATGGGAAGCTGGAAGAACAAACACCACCAACCCCATCTCATGTTTCGTCTTTGATTGTATTTTTTGAGGGGGAAATATTTGTAGAGAGATGGATGATGGTAAGATTTCAGTCAAGTGCGTAGAAAACAAACCGGCAAGAAAAACAGAGCAAGCTCGTTTGAGATGAAGGGAAAAGATGACGACAACGGGGCCGTTGGCAAACAGGCATGGGACGACAATGGTATCCGCATCCTCTTCTCCCTTGACAATGTCTTGGGCAGGGCACAAGTGGACGGGGACCAGTCGGCACGCACGCCTCCTTAGTTGACCTGCTCGGTGGCCGTCTTCTCGTTGGAGGTGACGGTGGTCGTGGCCTCGGCGGGCACATCGTCCTCGCCAGCCAGGTGGCGGGCCTTGGCGGTGGCATCGTCGCCGCCGTAGACGGCCGTGTCGCCATCGAAGTGCTTGACAATCTCCTCGAGGGGCGTGTTCTTGGTCTCAATGTAGAAGAAGTAGACGACAACAAACTCGACGGCGAGCCAGACGACGTACACCAGGTAGTACTTCCACTGGATGTTGCCGAGCGCCACAGGGTTGACGTACTGGTTGAACCAGAGCGACAGGTCGACGCAGAAGAACATGACGGTGAGACCCTTGGCGCGGATGCGGTAGGGCAGAATCTCGGCCGAGTAGGAGACGAGCAGACCGCAGAAACCAAGGTTGTAGAAGATGTAGTAGATGAAGATGAAGACAATGACGGTGTTGGCGGAGGCGTTGTTGGCTTGGGCATCGTAGCGCGCCAGACCGATCGTGGTGGAGATGAAGGTCAAAAGCATGCCGACGCAGGACGTCAGGAAGAGCGGGCGACGGCCGACCTTGTCGACGAAGAAGCAGATGGTGACGGCCGACACGAGCTGGACAATCGACAGGTAGCCGTTGATCTCGAGCTGCGTGGTCTGGTTGGTGACGCCAATAAGATCAAGCACCTGGGGAAGGCTATAGGGGGGGACAAGTTAGTCGATGTTTATGTATAGTCGTCTCCTTACTTTTTTTTGTTTCAGTTCCCCTCACAACTGGACAAACTTACTAGTACGACACGATACCGTTGCCACTCCACTGCGAGAAGAAACCAATGGAGACGAGAATGATGAGACGGTGGCGGTTGCCGGGAGTAGACCACAGCTCAGACCAGGCGTTGCGCTCGTACTCCTGCTCGAGGGCAATGGTCTGCGAGATCTCGTCGAACTCGACATTGACAAGCTCGTCGTCGAGGTTGCCCTCGGCATGGTACTTGGCAAGGATGGCCTTGGCCTCGTTGGGCTTGCCTTTGGAGATGAGCCAACGGGGCGACTCGGGGACGGTCCAGATCATGATAATCTGGACGAGCGAGGGGATGGCCTGCAGCAGGACGGGCACACGCCAAGCCCACTGGTTGCCCAGCTTGTGGGTGCCGAAGGCGACCCACGAGCCGACGAGGGAGCCCAGGTACCACAGGGTGTTGTAGATGGTGGAGTAGATGGCGCGGTGCTGGGGGTGGACGACCTCCGTGATGAGCAGCGGCGCGGATCCGTGGGCAATGGCAATGCCGAAACCGAGAATGAGACGGCCGACAATGAAGAGGGCGACGTGGAAACCGATGCAAATGAGGGCGACGCCGACAATCATAATGGAGCAGCCAATGACGACACCAGTGCGGCGACCGAGCAGATCAGCAGCGTAGGGCACGAACGGAATAGCGAGCATAGAACCAATAGACATGGAGGCGGTAATCAGGCCGAGCGTGGCATGGCTGGGGTTGTTGAAGGCTGAAAAGCCGTGTTAGCCCGTATTCAAAAAGCGGAGGTGAAGATACACGGGTGAAGATACACGGGTGAAGATACACGTCCCGAGTCCAAAAGTAAAGTCCAGATCAGTCACTACTTACCGTCAAGCCAGGCCTGGATGGACTCCAGACCGTTCATCAGTGAACCGTCGTAGCCGTTGGTGGCCGAGGTCAGCATGGCAGCCCAGAGGGTGAAATAGAGCGTGCGCATGTTGCTGTTCTGCCACCACTTAACCCGGGGCCACTCGCGGCCCGCGAGGGTAAACGTCGTCTTCTGGGCCATTGTGATGTATGTTGATGTAAGTAGTTGTTGGGGTATCAAAACGGATTGGGGGAAAAAAGGTAAATATAGAATTATAGTAAATGTAAATAAAGGGGAAGGAAAACGAAAAAGAAGAAACAAAAACTGAACCGGGTATCAAGGCCAAAGAGCAAAAAGTTGCAATGGCAGGCGGATGAGAAGAAGAAGAAGGAAAAGAAGGACAGGAAAGAAGAGATGGACGAGGCGGATGTTTAATATAGATGCAGTTCGAAAGCTGGGTATGTCGAACCTTGTCTGCAAATCTGCAAGGTCTTGGTCTTTCGACGTCCACACCATACAAGTGCTAGGTCTGCAGGGCAGAGTACATCTCCACAGTCTCTAAAGAAGGGAACCCCAAATTATCACCTTTCACGACAAGGGCAAGGGGAGGGGGTGTGGTTTGAGTTTGGGGAGGGGGAGAGGAAGAGAGACAGAGAGACCGACGCGTGGCAACACGGAGTAGGGAACATCTGCACAGGGCAGAAGACAGAACAGTACCAGAATAAAAATAAAATAAAGGATAAAATGGTCGAGAAACAAAATGGGACAAGGCCAAAAAGTTGGGGTAGGTTTTGCGGGAAGACGGCTGCAACTTTCCACTAGGCCAAGACATGCAGACGAGCAGGGTGCGAAGAGAGAGACGCGAGCAGAGAGCAGAGAGCAGAGAGCGAGAACAAGAACAAGAATGGCGAGCCACAGACATTCAGCCCTTCAAGCCACGCCCTTTCTCGTCCTTTTCCTTTTGCCTCTGGCCTCTCTCCTCCACGGGCCTCCACAGTCGAGTCTTGCTGTCTCCATGCCGTCTCCATACACTCCACGTCGCTTGCCCATGGGCACTCCACGCGAGCGTGCAGCGTGCAGCGGAGTGGTCGCCGCTTGCCTGTTCTCGTGTTGTGGTCGATTTGTCGCTAACATTGGCCGACAGGTGGCGCGGATCGTTGCTCACTGCAAGCCGGACCTAGATCACAATTGGGCTTAGCTCGGGGGGGGGGGAGGGATCGAGTACGGAGCAGGGGGGTGTCAATCTGACAGCGGTGGTGGGTGGTGGCGCCGGGTGAGAGCCAAAGGAAAAGGAGGGTGACCAACGAGGATTAGCTTCCTGGGTAAATAGAAAACGAAAGACGTTAACCGACCCAGCGCTGGGGAAAGGAAAATGAGGAGAGTGGACGAGTTGAGAAGAAGATGGGGCCAGAGACCGGATCGCGGACCAGGTTCAGCCCAGGCAAAAGGCAAAAGGCAAAACGGGGGTGGCCTGCCATGTGTCTTGCGAGGCGACGGTGCTCGGCTGGACGGCGTCTGGCGTCTGTCGTACACAGCAGTTTGTACAAAGTATGTTGTCCTCTGAGGAGTCCAAAGCAGAGGGACACGGACAAAGGACCACGATGCAGTGGCTGACGTGACCCGGTTGACGGGATCCAAGGCCGAACCCAGGGCGGCCATGTTCAATAGCGATGTGTACATCGTACGTCGGTTGACAGCCGTGGCCAGGATGGGTGTGTCCAGCCTCGTGCACAATATGCATCCTTTCGTGTTGGCTGTCCATCGTGCTGTCCATCGTGCAAAATGAATATGTACAAAGGGAGACCTGCTTTCGCCCCCTTTTTTTCTACGATGTACGAGGATGGCGGTCCGGTGTGGAGGAAGGTATCAATGCCCGAAAAGGGAAGCAGCCGTGAACTGGATCGCTCTTTCCTTCAAGGCTGCAAACAGGCTCACAACTCGCGTGGTGGCCAGTATCTCACTTCCCCCAGAAATCACAAAGGGACTACGAATGTACGGAGAACGGCAAGTGCGACTGGGACTGGACATTCTCAATAGACGTTCTGGCCCCGTTGTGGAGCCGCTGAGGCGAGAAGGTGCAGGTCACGAGAAGAAGGGAAGAAGGAAAATAGGGAAAGAGCAGGCGAGGACGATACCGGGTAAGGAACGAACGGCAGGCACGAGGAAAAGGCACGAGGAAACAGCACGAGGGCAGGCGCGACCAGGAAAATAAGGTGGACGTGCCGCCTGTGGAGAGTGGAGGTAAGCGACGAAAAGGGAAAGAGCATGGCCGACGGCCGACCACTAATCAAAGGGGAAGAGGCAAAGGGGCAAGCAGGTCACGTTCCGACTTGATTCTCGACTCGGCGACGCTCTCTTGGTCGACGTACAGTGCAGCAGTCAGCAGTCAGCAGTTCAGTATTTCAGCATTTCAGCATTTCAGCATTCAGCATTTCAGCATTCAGCATTTCAGCATTCAGCATTTCAGCTGTTCAACGGCCAACGGTCCTTCTTCCGACATAGGATGCGCAACGACGGAGACCAGACGAGACTTTTGACAGAGCCGGCACCAGCAATCGCCGAATCTACGAGTCTGGAAGGCGAGCGAGGACGAGAACGAGAACCAGAGAAAAAGAAAGAAAAATACAATCAACACCGGTGCGACATCGACCAAACGAAAATGACAAAAAAGGGAAAGGCGGGTGCTCAGGCGGGACGAGGAACCGGCGATGGGTAGATGGGCACATGATTGGCCGGCATGGACAGGGGACGACAGATGAAGGGGAAACGAAAGAAAGAAAGGAAGCGAAAAATGGACAAGGCCAATCTCGATAAGGAATAGGGGATCACGAAAAAAAGGAAAAATAAAAGGACAAAGGAAATCCTGGGGGTGGCACCAAACCACGTTTTGCTAGTGCAGGCGCCTGTCTACAGAGTCCAGCAAATGTCGTGACTGCGACGCTGGACTCGTTGGAACCACCAATCACGGCTGGCTCAGGTCACCTGGGCTGCTGAGTGTCACTGGGGGCCGTGTTTGGACCATTGGGAGGCCAGAGGCAAGGAGGATCGAGCAGGGCCTTCGTGGTTGGTCGTGCCGTCTTGCCGGACGCCATGCTTGGCCGCCGAGGAAGCAGCCGAAGTGGGGGACGTCGGCAAGTGAGAGTCAGCGGACAGAACACGCGCTGTACGAAGTACAACAATTGTTCTGGGAGAGGTGACACTCTGTGTCGGTTGGTGAGGGCGTGCGGCGGTGTACCGCGCATGGGATGTATCGACACGGCGGATGCTGCTGGACTGCTGTCCTTTTGTGCATCTCCGTGGCTGTTTTGATTGTGCTTTGTTTGATTGTGATTAAACAGAACCAACATTCAACAGACGACAGGACTTGTTTCCGGGCCACTTTAGGCGAGGCCCCTTGGTAGGGGTGGCCATGCATCTGTACATCGTAGTTACAACATAGAATACTCCAACTGTCGTGCATCGACAAGGTCATGGCGGGAGGCGTCCAACGGCTGTGCCGTGGCTGGCGCTAGAGTAAGACGCACCAGTGTGGGCTGTACGATTATACAGTACGAATTAGTTACTCAGTTTATGCACGACGACATGCTATCCTGGCACTCAGTAGTGTCCTAGGGCCCGGGCGCATCCCATATGAGACGTTCGTGGAGGCAATCTAAACTGAGAAAGTATCTTAATCGACAGCTGCTGAACGAATTAACCGTGCTGTCCCTTGGAAGCTGGCCGCAGGATGAAGCAATACTATGCTGTATACGGACTACGACATACTCCGTAATTAATGCTCTGCAAATATGATTGAGGGAGGGGAGGGGGCCTTGGAGAAGACGGCCTTGCAGCCGCGTCCTGCCACCAGGGACTTGGAACAGTAGGAGGGGATGGTAAAATAAGATGGTGGATAGTGCGCAGCAGAGGACGGAAATACCGTGGAGAGGGCGTGTATTTCGTACACCGTAGGGGCGTTTGTGAGGGCGTGAGGAAATACGGAGTAATAATGTATTAACATGTAAACGTTGGAGTTGGAGATGCTAAGGCAGGCGAAAGGGAAAAGGATAAATTCAAAGTTGGGGGCGTCGGGCGGGGACGTCAAAGAGGCGGAAGAGGAAGAGGACGAAGCACCAAGTACGGAGTACTGGAGCCAAGAGGTTAAACAGGGACAAAGAGCCTGACCATCGTGGTGAGTATGGCAGCGCGAGCTATCAAGCTCCGAGGATGTCTGGATCTCTCGCACGACGACGCCGCACGTTACCGGAAGATATCCAGTCATGGGTGGCAACGATGCAGGAACTCGCGTCGTGCAGCCACCAAACAATGTCCTGTAAACGACCTGAAAACAAGGCACCACACTTGACAAATGGCATGCCACATGGGCGGCAAAATAAAGACAATAAAGACGGTTCATACTGTGTAGACCAGCAATGAAAAGACGTATCCATTGACAGGCTACCCTCCATCTCGAAAGCTACATGTACTTGGAATGCCATCGACATCACCTCGGCGCAAGCTACACTGCTGGGGAAGCCCGTATTCCGGAACTGTGGGAAGAAGGAAGACGGAGAGCATCATGTCTTGGGCAGTGTCCAACAAACAACATACGACTTGCAGCCTTACACATGTGTCCCTTTTCCCGCCAACGGCCGGATACCAGGCAAATCAGCCGGTCCAACAAACGTGTCACAGACGAACAAAGGAGCCAGGAGCCAGGAGCCAAGAGCCAAGACAGCCACGAGAAGCAGTCTTGATCCCGTTGGCTCATCTCGACTCTGTGCTTTCGACGTCTGTGCTCCGTAGTCATACACACGAGATGACCAGACGACCAGACACCAGATGTGCTCGAGGCGCCCAACCATCCTTGCAATCTCGTTTGGTCTGGTCGTGTGTCAGGGTTGCCAGTTGTCTGTCGACTGTTGCTCTCCACCGTGTGGCTGTCTGCTCTCCAGACTTTCGGCATAGTTTAACCTTCTATCCGACGAGTAGGACCCAAAATAAGTCCCAATAAGTCCCAAAAAGACTGGGCTGACTGGCGCGTCTAAGAGGATCATAAAACGGGGCAGCATGGGGAAATGAAGGAGATGAAATAAGAAATAGAAAAAAGGAAGAACAAAAGAAAGAAGAACAAAAAGGAAAGAAAAGAAACGTCAATGGCCAGCTGGAAAACAGAAAACACGCCCCTCTCCATCGTAATACCCACCAACATGACCACATGGAGATGCCAGGTTTATTATTTAAACTATTTATCCAGAACAAAAGCTTCTCACGACACATGGCGTCACATCGCCGCCGCACCAGGACGGACCTTGGTGATGCTGCTAGTGAAATAGGATGCCAAAATGCCAAAATAAGAAAAAGTTTTGAAACGAACCCAAAAAGAGAGACCCAAGCCCGCGGCTGTTTTGGTACTGTGGATGCACTAACAAAAGAGAGAAATAGAAGAAAAAAAATGAATGAAAAATAGAAAAGAATGAAAAATGAGAAAGACACACCAGTAAGTCCATTGGAAGCTGCACGCGAGCCAAAGGAAAGACGGGAAGGAACCCTAGTCGTTCACAGCCTGGGCCATCAGCAGAGGACGCAAAGACCGCCCAATACGACGACGCGACCCGACTGTGTCTGCAGGAGAGGGACATCCGCCGGACGCGCTGACCCAAGCACATGTACGACGCAACCGAAATGTGATGTCCTGTTGTGTATGTCCTATTATGTATATCCCGTTATTCACTTCGTGGGCGGTAGGAAGTGGGAAGCACAGAGAATGGAGTGTCGAGAAGTTCAAAGGTGATTACGGCTTGAACGACTCGAACATGCAGACTCGAATAGGCAGACTCGAAGACGGCAAGATACACACATTTGTTGGATCACGTCTATTGAAAAGATAACTGAAAGGTCAGAGGCAAAACGAAGAGGAGAAACACAATGGCTAACCCACGCCAGGACACGGCAGACAGTGCAACATAAGATGCACAACGGCAAAGACGGCAGACGGCAGACGGCAGGTGGCAGGAAAGCCCAGAGAAAGGCAAGCATGGGCTGTCAGCGTCAGCCATGCGACTCACAGAACCAGAATGGACCAGCAGAAACGGACAATGGACGACGGACGATAGACGACGGACGATGGAGGCGACGAGACGAGACGAGATGAGACGATTTCAATGCACCGTCAAAACAAGAACGTACTCGACATTCTGCGTTTCACCCTCAGGTCGCCTGTCATCCCTTGATGGTCGTCTATCCTTTCGTTTCAGTCGGTCATTCTTGTCGGTTCTCACAATGAGCACTCTCAGAAGCCACTCCATGGGACCAAACATAAACCAAGGGCAGCTGCCTGCTGGTTCGCCCGTCTCCTCCACATCGCCCTCGAAAGAACGAGTGAATTGGAGACGGGCAGGTGAGGCTGGCAGGAAACGATGCACACGCTGACGAGAGAATACAGACCGCGGCCCGTGATCTATTAATATCAATCGCCAAATCACCAAATCGCCAACAGAAGCCACAGGACAGACAACGGCTACGATATAGAGAGAAAGAGAGCGTGCCGTGTTTACGGTAGGCGCGGTATGGACGGCCTGCACGGCGTATAAGCGGCCAAATATACGGCCAAATATATGCGTGGAAGCGAGTCGAGAGAACCAGTCGGCTTGCCGTGAGGAATCGTGTGACAGTGCCAAAGATGATGTACATCTGCACATACGGACAGATGCAGGTCAGGACTCTCTCCACGTGGTTTTTTATTTTTATTTTTATTTTGACACAATCCTTCCGTCGGCTCCCATGGCCCGTACGCGACGACGTGCCTGCCTCGACGTACGCTGCATTCTTCCATTCCCCCGGGCGGTTTCACCACATTCGATGCGAGCAAGTTTGGTTGTGTCGGAGCTGGTTGGTGCTGGTTGGTGGTCAGCGTGGTGGCTGTCCGCCAGCGGCAGAGACGACCAGAAAGCAAAAGGACGTACCAGGGAGCGCCTCGTGCATCCTGCACACCTCATACCACACGCCTCCCACCTCCAATCCTCCGCCAAGAGGCCGTGCCGTGTCCGCTGCACCGTGCCTCTGTGGGCCTGATTGCTATAAGAGCTCTGTTATCGAGAGGTCAAGGGCATAAGGGCTCCAGAGCTCCAGAGCTCCAGGACTCGAGGGTCGAGGATTCCCCGAATATGTGAGCATGATGAGATAAAACGGGAAACCAAAAGTGCTCGTAAACGAAAGAAACATAAAATCCCGGGAAAATCAGTTGAAATGCTTTCCGCTGCTGGCTTCTGTGCACGTCCTAGCCAGTATACCGTACCAAGAGCTCCGGAAGGGGCCCTCATGAAGTGCAGTGGAGCAGCGGAGCAGCGGATAACAGTGGATAGAACGGAAGACAGAGCGTACGACGTATGGGAAGAAACGAGTGCATCGTGAAGCCAGGAGATCGCACGGCAAAGTAAACAGGTCGTGAATACGTCGATTAGCGCGTAGGCGAGCCCTCACTGCAGCGGCCGCACTGCCCACAAATGCCCTAAATTACAGTGCTTGAGCGCCGACCACCACCGCTGCGCTTAGTCATTTGCGCCTTATCTTATCGCCACCCGCCACCATTTTGCCTGCCCAAAATCTCGCCAGGCATCGCATCGCGAACCTCAACCACGAACGACAGCCGACGAACCTCACGTCCACATCCTGCTTCGGATTCTCCTAGCAACCACCACCTCCTTTCGCATTACCCTCCGTACACCAACAACCCCCCCCCCCCCCCCCACCCAACCATGGACTACCAGAACCGCGTCGGCTCCAAGTTCGGCGGCGGCGGCGTCGCCTCCCACAGCGCCACCAACGCCGACCGCCGCGAGCGGCTGCGCAAGCTCGCCCTCGAGTCCATCGACCTCGACCGCGACCCCTACTTCTTCCGCAACCACCTGGGCTCCTTTGAGTGCCGCCTCTGTCTCACCGTCCACCAGAACGACGGCTCCTACCTCGCCCACACCCAGGGCAAGAAGCACCAGACCAACCTCGCCCGCCGCGCCGCCAAGGAGCAGCGCGACGGCCTGCGCCGCGACATTGACCCGGCCACCGGCCTGCCTGTCGGTGTCGCCGGCGCCGGCTTTGGTGCCCTGGGGTTTGGCGGTACGGACAAGGCCGCCGGCGCCGCCATCGTCCGCATCGGCCGCCCCGGCTACAAGATTGTCAAGGTGCGCGACCCCGCGACGCGCCAGGTCGGCCTGCTCTTCCAGCTGCAGTACCCCGACATTGGCGCCGACGTCACCCCCCGCTGGCAGGTCACGAGCGCCTTCAGCCAGCGCGTCGAGACCCCCGACCGCCAGTTCCAGTACCTGCTCGTCGCCGCCGACCCCTACGAGACCTGCGGCTTCAAGATCCCCGCCCGCGAGCTCGACCGCCGCGCCGGCCGCACCTTTGACTACTGGGACCGCGACGCCCGCGAGTACTGGGTGCAGGTCCTGTTCATCACCGAGCGCGAAGAGCAGTTCAATGCCGCGCCGGGGCTGACGGGGCGGTAATCGACGGACTATTTTGCTGGAGCCTTTATTGTTTTTGTCGTGTTTCTTTCTGTATCAGTACGGCGTTTGGGACGGACTTGCATTCTGTGGAATAAATAGCGAACATATACCTCGAACTACAAAGTTGCGTCAACAGCTTCTCGTCAGAAGTGAATAGTGTGTTGTTGGCGACTTGATACATATTTAAGTCTGTCAAGAGAAGACCGTCATTGGATCTCGTGAGTTTACATTGGAAAGTTTTAAAATTGTAATATCAATTTATTTCCTTGCTTTGCTGATTTTTTTTATAAAAAAAAACCAATAGTTTTATTGTAGTTATTTATTTGTCAAATCTATGCCCCTTTACATATTTATTCCTCATATCCCATTTTCATATATCCCAGTCACCAACAGACAAAAGCGTGTATGTCAAGCCAAATGCAAGTGAACATCACTGCCATACGACAGGTTAACATGGAAACAAGAAACCAAGCTCCATGGAGCACGCCATACAAAGAGGCTCGAGACGCATGCTCAGATGAAGATGAATTCCAAGACAACTATACTAGATGGCGATGGCCGCTATTGCGTCGCTGCTTACGACTTGCCTCTTGGGAGGACAGAAAGCATACAAAATGGAAGAGACGACAAACAACGTAAAACAGAAATGGGCAAAGGTCAAAGGTCAAACAGATAAATGATAAGAATGGTACGGACGAAATTAGATTGTCAAACACAACATCCCCCCTCCCCCCATCCTCCCCCACCCTCCCCTCAGTCCCAAACACGCCTCAACGAAAGTTGTTGTCGAACCGCTTAAAGGTGTAGCCGATAAAGGGCAGGCTCATCTCCGGGCTCTCCTCGGGCGCGGCGCTGCGGCTGCCCTGCTGCGCCTGCTGCGCGCGCAGCAGCGTGGCGTTGTCCGTCTGGTCGATCTCGTCGGTGGGGAAGTAGGTGGTGTCGATGTTGGAGGTGAGGCGCGGCTCAAAGGGCGCGCGGATGCGGCGCAGGCTGTCAAACTCGACGCCGCGGAAGAAGGCGTGGCCCTTGATCTCGTGGGCGCCGCCGCGGCCCAGGCGGTTCTCCGTGTTGCAGATGAGGCTGCGGATGAGGCCCTCGGCGTCGAGGCCCAGCTGGATGTCGTCGGGAAAGTACAGCGACTGGCGCCAGGTGACAATCTTGTGGTAGGTGTCGTGGCGGTCCTCGGCGCAAAAGGGCGGCCAGCCCACGAGGCACTCAAACATGATGGTGCCGAGCGACCACCAGTCGCAGTCGAAGCTGTAGCCGTGGCCCGTGAAGATCTCGGGGGCAATGTAGTCCGGGGTGCCGACCGTCGAGTAGGCCATCAGCCGGCGGGACCGCCGCCAATCGTTAATCTGCGACCGGTTGCTGACCGTCAGGTTGATCTGGTCAATGGCAATGGAGTTGCGGTCGCCGCCGCGCGGCCGGCTGCCGGCGGGGCGGCCCTGCAGCAGCTGCTGGTAGTAGTTGTTGTCGTGCAGCTTGTGGAAGCCCGTCGACAGGCCAAAGTCGGTCAGCTTGACGTGGCCGCCGCGGTCCAGCAAGATGTTGTCCGGCTTGATGTCGCGGTGGATGAAGCCCAGCTTGTGCACCGCCTCGATGGCCAGCACAATCTCGGCAATGTAGAAGCGCGTAATGTCTTCCGAGAAGATCTCGTACTTGATCAGCATCGTCATCAGGTCGCCGCCCGGCAAGAACTCCATCAGCATGTACAAGAAGTTGGCGTCCTGGAAGGTCGTGTACAGCTTGACGACCCACGGGCTGTCGGACTCGGCCAGAATGTCACGCTCGGCACGCACGTGGGCCAGCTGGTCGCGCCGGAACATTTCCGTCTTGACCAGCGACTTCATGGCGTAGACCTTGTTGTCGGCCTTTTTCTGCACCAGCTTGACCTCGCCAAAGGCGCCCTTGCCAATGATCTTGACCGTGGTGTAGTTCTCCGGCTTGTCCTTGGTCCGCAGGAAGCGCAGGTACGAGCCCTCTCGCCGACCGGCCGTCGACCAGATCTGCTCCTTGCGGGCGGCGGTCTGGTTCGGCTCGGCCAGCTTCTGCTCCATCTCGCTTTGTCTGCGTGGGTCAGCATGGTACAAGTTGGGTACAAAGCAACAGGGCAAAACGTGTCCTACCTCTGGTTTCTCTCACGCGCACGCTTGACACTGTCCTTGAAAAAGTCGGCGGCCAGCTGCGAGCACTTTTTCTGGTTGTTGTTGGCGTTGGCCCCGAAGCGGTCCGGGTTCCGCTCGGGCGCGACCTGGAACTCAAAGACAGGCGCTGCGGGCTGGCTCGGCAGCGGGGCATTCAGGTAGCTGTTGTAGCCGCCGGCAGGCTGGTAGCCTGTGGCACCGGCCGTCCGTGGACGCTGGGCCGCCGACGGTCCGCGGCTGTAGTTGTTGGTCGAGGCGGCGGCAGCGGCGGCACGGGCAGCGCCGCCGAGGTTCTGGTGGGAGAACTGGTGCGCGAGGCCCGTGTTGGGGTCGGTGGCGCTGGGGGTGTTGGAGCGCGGCTGGTAGAGGCTGTTGGCGCTGGCCGAGGCCGAGATGCCACCCGCCGACGCGGCCGAGGCACCGCCGCCGCCGCCGCCGCTCAGGGGCGCACCACCAGTGCTGTACTCGTTGCCAGCGGCATGCTGCTGCGACGAGTACTGTGGCGCGGCATACTGGTTTTGTGAGAAGTAGCCGCCCTGCTGTTGCTGCTGTTGCTGCTGCTGCTGCTGCTGCTGCGAGGCGTAACCGGACGACTGGTACTGCTGGGGCTGCTGGGACGATGCAAGGCCGATGTTGTTGGCGGCACCGCCCTGCTGCTGCTGCGTTGTTGAGGGGAAGACGGGTTGGGGGAACGTCGAGGGCGTCGTTGGGTATGCTCGGTCGTTTGCGGCGATGCGGTCAGCCGCATTGTTGTTGTTGAAGTTGAGGTAGAGACGTGGGTTGTCCATTGTGGCGGTCGCGGGTCGGCCCGAAGTAAAGCGAGCGATAGAAAAGTAGGAGTTGGCAACGAACGGATTCGAACGAATGCTGCAAATGTCGGACGTCGAGGCCGTTCAAGGTCCGGACTCGAGAGCGGTGAAGGGCGTGGTCGAAGAGGCAGACGCAGCAGAATCAAGCCAAGCCTGGAGCGTGTGGGCGGGGTGCTGAGGAAATCTGGCCAATGTGTGCTGCGGCGAGGACGAGAACTGGGGGCCGAAGAGAGGAGCGGGGCGGTCGCTCAAGGGCGTACAAGGGGCTCAAGTCGGACGATGCAGAGGGGGGTTTGGAGGCGGCGGCTGGAAAGGGAGTGTCAGTTTGCTGATCGAGAGGCGCCAGCATGCAGAACAACAGGTGTTGACGCAAAGCAATCGCAAGTGAAAGATGGTAGAATAGGGGTGGACGATGTGATTGGCGAAAGCTGTGAGCCCCTGAAGCACGAGGCCACGATGACACGGCGCCTGTGGAGAGGGATTCGAGCGACGGCGGAATGGGATATGGAAGGACGTGAGGAATGGAGGGGGCCAGACGATATGAGCACAATCGACGAGAGTAAGACGATCGAATGGCAAGACAAGACGAAAAGGAAAGGAGCAAAAGGATAAAGGATCAAGAGGGAGCACGACGGGCGGTGAGGCTCAAATGCGTCGTGTGCTGTGAACGCTGCTGGAGACTCACAATTGTTGATTTGTTGCTAAGCTGCTCTGCAGCGCTGGTCGCACAGGGGCGGGGAGGGGGTAGGCGCCGGGGTGGACGGGAAGGGAGACAGCCAATCGTCGAGGCAGGCTGATGAAGGAAATACAGTGAAAAGTGAAAAGTCGTGATGGGATGAAGTCGAAAGCCCAGAGTCCACAACAGAGGAAGCAGCCAAGGAGTCGTCGTGTCCGAACGGGAAGGAAGTCGACCGTTGCTGTGCAAGAAGGCGCAGTTGGCAGTTGAAACGCTGGAACTAGCAGCAGCCGAATGGGGGGGAAGGAACGAGACAGGCGGCAGAACCAGAGCAAAATCGTCTGAGCAAATCCTTTCTAGCGGTCTAGTGGGACACAGCATGTGGCGTCCGGGCCTAAAAGAGACCAGTAAACAGACGGACTCTTGGACGGGAAGGCCCCTGACAAGCCTAGAACCGCTAGCCCATTCGCTGTATTAGTGGTTGAAAATACCCCGCAACCCCTTTTACGGGGTGCAGTTCTGTCCGTTGTTGCTGGTTTTACTGTCCAGCCCCGCTATTCGTGTAATTACGCTGTCTTCCGTACAAGTTTTGACATGCAATTAAACATTAAACGCGGAGAGGGAACATCCAAGTAAACAAAGAGGATTCGTAAATCCAAATGCTTGACGAAATCGCAGAGAAACTCGTAAAGTCGTATAGTGATCTGCCAGTTCGAGCAGTTGGTTATACTGTTTTGTCAGTATGAATGTGTCGTGCTGCTTGTAGAAGAACCGCTGTAGCATATCGTCCATTTTTCATCATCCATTTCCTTTCTTTTCTCGTGTTTTCTTCTTTCTTCTTTCTTTTTGTGTAAAAATGAGACGCCCACAACTTCTACGGAACCCTCGATGCAAGTATATCTCCTTCGCAACACAAGCCGGAACATGCTCGCACGCCCGTTGGTCTACTTGTGCGATACTGCAAACAATGCGGCAAGACGTTGTACCTCGTGACCGTGATGCTTTGCACTCGTCCATTGGGCGTGGTGTATTGAAGGCGGCTGCTCATTCACCGTATATGACTTTGCGTCTTCATGGCCAAGCCAAAGGCCAACGTTGGTCGTTCACTGATGTTGGGTCGGGCGCCGCTGTCAAGAGAACAACGCACGTTGAACGGGCAGAAGTGGGTGGGTAATATGTTGATGTGTCTGAAGCAACTGCTAGAGTGCTATGATGCCAAAAGAAAAGACAAAGAAGAAACCCCAAAAGCAAGGCACATTAAAAAATCGAAAAAAAAGAACCAACAAAAAAAAAGCCAACACGCAGTAAATCACAAAAGAGCAGCACCAGACATTATCCAAGGAAAGATGAAGTCTTTTTACAACATCGACTTCCTTTTGCCTGTCCTCTCGCCTCCTGACTCCCTTGCCCCGTGGTCTGTTCAGCGTGTCTCGCTCGGACGCTCAATTCTATACCTCGCAGTCGGTCGCAGTGTCGGTCGCACGCCAGAGTGGTTCGCTTCCGCGCACGCCCCTACCGCGCGTTGCCTCGTCTCGCCGCCTACCGCAGCTGCTGGTGGTCCGCAAACGGGTTGGGCCCCGTCGCAATGTCGCCGCTCGTCTCGCTGCCGCGCAGAACGCTGCCGGCACCCAGCGTCGTCGTCGACGCCGACGCCGGCAGGTACTGGCTCTGCTGGTGCTGCTGGTGCTGGTGCGGCGGCGGCATCAGGGGCTGGGCGTCACCACCACCGCCAATGTTGCGGACGCCGGCGCTGGGCTTCTTGCTGTCAATGGCGGCCTGGCGCGCAATGGCGGCGGCCTCGGCGGCCTTGGCCATGCGGGAGTGCTGGCGGCGCTCGCGGCAGCAGAAGAAGCACATGGTGGTGACGGCAATGACGAGGCCCGAGGCAAAGACAATGGCAATGACGATGCCGGCGGCGCCGGGGTTGTTTTCCAGCTTCATGCAGGTGGTCTCGCCGAGGGCGCTGTCGGTGTCGCACCTGAGGCCGGCGGCGCAGGTGGGGAAGAGGGCGACGGTGGAGAAGCAGGACAGGGTGGTCTTGCCGGCGGCGGGGCCGGTGGACTGGACGGGGCAGACGGTGGTGGAGACGGTGGTGGTGGTGAGGCAGATCAGCGAGGTCGTGTGGGTGCCGGTAAACGTGCTGTCGGCGCGCGGCAGGAGCGGGGTGGCGGCGAGGTACTTGGCATCGGCATTGGCATCAGCGGCGGCGGTCGGCGTCGGCACAGGCACCGGGTTGGCGACGGGCTTGCGGCGGCGCAGCTCGGCGGCGGCCGCATTCTTCTCCGCGGCGGGGCGCGCGCACTGCTGGATGGTCCAGGTGGCCTCGATCAGGGCCTCGTCGGGCTGGCAGCCGGCGTTGACAAAGCACTGGGCCAGGACCGCGGCGGAGATGTCGTGCGAGGACGTCGGCAGGCGGTTCTCGAGGCAGAATTCGATGCTGCCGGCATGGCCGCAGGCGGCGTGGCTGGCGAGCGAGGCGGCGCGGGTGTTGAGGCACTCGGCGAGGTCGAGGGGAGCCGCCGGCGCGGAGGCCGAGGCGGTAGCAGCAGCACCGAGGAGGGCCAGGAGGGCCTGTGTTGATACGCGCATGGTGGACGTGTGTGAGAAGGGAGGTGTGAGGTGTGCTATGTGAGGCATGAGAAGAGGGGAGAATGCAGAGGTTTCGTTTGCCCGGAGCAGTCGGAGTCGGAGTCAAGCCAAGACGTGACCGAGAAGATGAACGCGTCCGGAGGTGCTCGTTCGACGTGACGTGTTTCCAGGAGCGTGGGTACTGAAAACCCGGAAATAAAAGCCCGAAAAATAGAATCGGATCGGCGACGTAGGAACGGGAGTTGGGGAGATCTCGACGCCGAGGAATGGATAGTCAGGGGCGACAAGAAGATGAGGCGGTGGGAGGAATAGGGAGACAAATCAAGACAAACAAGACAAACAGACGAATTCGATCGATCCAAGAACAGTAGACCCAGAAACGAAACAGGAGACAGAAAGAAAGAGACGGCAGACGGCAGACGACAGGCGACAGGCGAGGCGGAGGAAAAGAAGAAGAAGAAACGAAGAAAAGAAGGGAAAGAAGACGAAGGAATGAGAGCCCCAGGGGAAAAGGAACGACACAAAACGAGGCGTCAGCTAAACGGAGTGAGCGAGTCGAAGGACGTGAGATTCAAAGTACTCCGTACTGGACAAAAAGCCTTTGGCACGACAAGGCCCCAAGGCCCCAGTCGTGAGTAAGACGAGCCGCAGGAATATAAAAATAAAAAAAGATTTGGTGCAAAGACAGGAGAGGGGGGGGGGGGCGCGAGAGCAAAAAGGGGAAGGGGAAAGGGGGACAGGACTCGCTCTAGCCTCTCTATCTCTAGCTTCCCTTCCGGCTGCAAAGCCTCATTCCTCGCAGGAAGGAGCAGGGCTGGGCGCCGCGACGGCAGGCGCACTTGTCGAGGACGAAGGAAGCAGCGGATCTGAGCGGGTCGACCTTTTTGTGCTCCTGCCTCCTGTGATTCTTTATCTAGTACATTCGTACGACGTACGACGAACTGGTGTTGCTGAGCTCTTTCCTCTTTCCTCTTTTTCTGTCCTCATTCCTTCTTGTTTCGTTGTACCCTAAACTGGTGGGACCCACGATGTTTTAGCTCACAAGAGGCAGCATGCACTGATTTACGCTTTCCTTCTGCCAGGCTGTCAGGCTGCTGTCAGGCTGCTGCCAGGGACAGGGACCAAACGGCGACAGGGAGCTAACTACGCGTTGGCGCACTGCTGACCCGCTGGAGACGGAGACAGCGTGTCGAGAGGCGACCGTTGACAGGTCAGAATAGGGTAAGATAATTCGTACTTCATGAGACGTTGACAAAAATAATACGGAGAATGCGAGACCACGGAGACAGTCAGTGGAATAGGAAGTACGGTGCAGCTGTGGTTTTTGCTTTTTGCTCTACGAAATACACTTTGTGCGATCCCAATTGACAGCGGCTGGCCGTTTTGCAGTGCCGACAGAGGACAAGTGTAACCTGTCACCTGTCAGACGAGAGCAGACGAGTGAAAAGTGAGGAGTGAGCGCGAGAGGCTGGTGCATGTACCATGTGTCGCGAGGCAAAAGCGCTGGTTGTGGCTGGCGTCCGTTGGGAGTTCACTGCGCGGTCCTGCTCTGGGATATCTTACGTGTACATCGTAGATGCAGACGGGTTTCCCACGACACTCTTTTCGTTCTTCGGCTTCAGCCCCACATTCATACAAAGTACAAAGTACGACACGCCCGAGTCCATACAAATGTCAGCACGTCTCTCACCTTCATCCTGTCTCATCTTCCTGCAACCCAGTTCAACCAATAACAGCACGCCTGTCAGCAGAAACCCTGTGCCCTGCAGTCGGTCATTTTGGACCCTCTCATTGCAGGGGCTGCCATCCTCTTTACGACGACCAAGAATGCAACAGTCCTCCTGGTTGTCCTTTCTGCAACCCCAGTCTGCACTCATGTCCGTAAAGCCTAATCTGTGGTGCCGTGCGAGGTTGTTGGTCGACAGTCGAGGCGCATGCAGCCACAGGTAGACTGTAATACCGTGGATACCTCTCAACTGCAGTCAGCACCTACACAGTCGCAGCAGCAGAAGGCGGCATTGCGGCGGCCTGCAATCGACCCGACACACACTTTATGGCCAGGTTGTGGCGGTGGAATCAAAGTGCGCCCCAGCTGGCTGGCTCTGCCTGCGCCGCAGGGTCCAAGGACGGTTTAGCCTGATGCACTCATCCTGTCGAGCAGAGCGTACAGAAGGACACTGCGCCCCGTTCTGTCTGCCAACGGAAAACAGACGAAAAGGGAACGGCTGTTGGGGCTGAACGCCCTTGGCAAGCCTGGCATCATCGATCGATGCTTTTGTCGTCATGAGGAGGAGGGTGAAGTGCGATGGGCACACAAAAGAAAGGACACACGACAGCGATCCTCAAAAAAGAAGCTTTACGGTGACAGAGGATAGTTGCTCGGAGATGTTATGACTGCAATCCATGTTTGCTGACACCCAACAGCCGCAATACGTCGATACGATCTTGGGGCAATTTCCCCTTCAAGGCTGCTTTTGCGCCGTGGCTCAGCCAGTGGGCCGGGAGCAAACGTCCAAGCCAAATTTCCGCAGGCTGCTCGTCTGGCATTTGGGGTCTCGGGCACGCCACGGCAGTTGGCATGCGACAGGGCCTTTCTCGATGTACTGGCACGCTTCGTTTCTTTTTTTAGTTTTTGATTTCACGATGCCAAGATGTCTTTTGAATACCTCGACGAGAGTCACCCCTTTGCGGCGCAATGTGTAACGGCAGCGCTTTTCATTGAATATGAATCTACCGACGATCTCGAGATACATGGAAGCACGTTCGCACTCACAACAACGCTTTGGGTCCGGAACGACTCCTTCAAAAAGGAATAAAGGGTAGCAAATCAGCATGGCATTGAGCACAAAGTTGATGGGAAGCAGAATCAAGGCAGAGAAAGGACTTGGACTTAATTGGGACATACATAGACGGCGTCTTCGACATGAGAAACCGTTCCGACATCCCACCAATTTCCATTTGCCCCGTCTGTTGATTCCTTTGCCTGCATTCATTTTTTTCAATCGTTTTCTTGTTTTCTTATTTTTTTGTGTGTGGTCTATGTTGATGTTGTGCTTGTGCTTTTGTGTGATCCGTCTGGACAACTGACAACTGGTGGCGTGGCTCTCTCTCGAGGTCAGCTCATCTCACACCCAGTCCGTAGTCCGTAGTCCGTAGTCCGTCTGTCCCTCTGGACCCCCGACCCTGCACTCGTTTTGGTGCAAGTGGTTTGCCAATCTTTCGAAAGGGGGTCGGAGTGATTGTGCTGCCCACTGCTTGAGCCGCATATCTTGTATCGTGGGGACACGCCCGGATCAATGCCGACGTGGCACGAAAAAAGAAAACATTGTGCGGCCGAGTGCGGCATGCCGTGTGAAAAACAAAGCAGCGAGCAAAAAGAAGAAAAAAAAAAAAAATAGAAACCAGATACAGCCAGATTAAAAGCAACCCTCGCAAGCCAACCCTTCTGGTCAAACAGCAGTCCCTCCTGCTGTCGACATTCCATGGTACTCTGTATAATTTTATGCCATTTGGGTATTTCTTTTCTCTCCTTTGTTGCCCCAGATCGATCTAGACGAAGCTGTTGCTCGTCGTTTCGTTCAAAACGGCTGGCGGTGTACCGTCTGCGCTCGTGTCCCCCGTGTGGTCTCTGTGATCTCCCAGTGTGTCTTTCTGGTCCTTGTGGTCCTTCGGATCCCTCTGGTCGTTCTGGTCTTTCTGCTCTTTTCGGTCCTCGCCGTGTGGCCCCGCAAAAGTTCCCCCCACACTGCTCCCTCGACGGCTGCCGGCCGTGCTCTAGCTGCTCGACAGCTTGTCGAGGTCGCCGTGCCAGTCGGGCTCGACGAGCGTGGCGCGCGTGTTGTAGAGGAAGCGGTACGCCGTCTTGATGGTGCCGTCGCTGACGCCGGCAATGGAGGCAATGTCCTTGGACGCGCGCGGGTCGTCGAGGTACTGCGAGGCAAAGTAGATGCAGGCGGCCGCGACGGACAGCGGCGAGCGGCCGGCGAGGTCGGGGATGCCCGTGGTCTTGCGGGCCAGCGCCTTGCTGATCTTCTCCATGCGCGGCGTGTTGCGGAACCCGAGCAGCGAGCAGTAGCGCGTGCAGAGCTCCTCGGCCGTCGTCGACGACGACGCCTTGTAGTCCTTGACGCCCTGCGCCGCGCTGGCCTGCGGGTTTTTTTCTTGAATCTTGCTCAAGAAGCTCTCGAGCGACTTGAAGACGCGCCCAATTTCTTTCTTGGTGACGCGCGTGATGGCGTAGATCTCGCGAAACGTGCGCGGCACGCCGCACTGGCGGCAGGCGATAAAGATGCAGCCGGCGATGACGGCCTCGCGCGGCTTGCCCTTGAGCTGGCCGTGCTCGTAGGCCAGCTTGTAGATGTGCATGGCCGTCTGGCCGACGATGCCGCTCGTCTGCATCATGTCGACGAGCCCGCTGATGGCGCGGAAGCCCTCTTGCAGGTCGTTGTTGAGCTTCTCCGACTGCGACTTCTTGTTGATGCTGTTGAGCTTGCCCGCCAGCTTGCCGTTGGCCGCCCGCATGTCCACCTGCGTGCGCAGGCCCTCGTCGTTGGCCAGCGAGTTGGCCGACTCGCCCACGCGCGACGGGTCGTCGTTGCCCTGGTCGTCGTTGGCAAACGTGCGCCACTCGGACCGGCTGTCGATGATGCGCGGGCCCACGACGAGGCCGCACGAGTCGCACACCATGTCGCCGCTCGAGAACTCCTCGACCAGGTTGGGCGGGAACTCCTTGCAGTCGGGGCACATGACAATGTTGTCGAGGTTCTCCTTGTACGCGTCGCGCGCCGCGTTGGCGATGGCCGTGGCCGTGGCAGCGTCCATTTTGGTGGTGGCGGCGGCGGAGGCAGCAAGTCGTGCGGTCAAAGGAGATGGCTTGTTATGCAGCTCCTCGAGAGGCTTACGGGTGGCGGCGACGAGCTTGGTTTGGGTCCGCGCTGGCTGCGACTTGGCAGTGGCCGGCTTGGTCACCTTCGACGTCTGTCTTGGCTTGCGTTTCCTGGACGCCAGCCGCTTCTTCGCGTCCAGCGTGTCGAGCACCAACACAATGCTCTTGGTCGCCTCGGCGGGCGTCAGGTCGCTTGTCTGCGCGTCCGTCTTGTCCGACAGGATGGTGAGGGCCAGCTGACGGAAGAGCGGCGAATGCGTGGTGGGCGAAGAAAAAAGTCGTCGGGCGGACCGACGACGCTACGGGTAGATGAGAGGAGCAAGAAGGAAAAAAACGAAAGCACAGGGTATCAGAAAAGTGTCGGGCAGGTTCAAGGCACGATGGAGAGCACGAATCAAAGATTCGCACGGCGTCCGCGTCGTCGGTTGTGTCGTCGGTCTCAAAAACCAGTCAAGGCGTCCCCTGTGGTGCGAAGAAAAGGATGATCAACGTGTCGAGAGGTCGTTTCGATGGCGATGATGATGCCAAAGGTATCAGGAACGCGTTCGAAAACGACGAACTGATTGATTCTCTTCGCAGAGGAGCAAATTGAGATTGAACGCGGACGCGCGACGAGCGAACAGAAAAAGAGAACAAGGTCGCCGACGACAAAACGAAGGGAGGCGCGCCGTCGGATCGAAAGAAACGAGCAAAGAAAGTCAAAACAATCGATGGCGACGGGCGACGGGCGACAGCGGCGACGGCGACGAGAAGCAAGACGACGCAAAAAAAGAGGTTGTAAAAGGCAGAAGTGGAAGGGCGACGATGAGGCAGGCAGAAGAGGCTGCCGACACCCAAATAGCCCCCGAAGCAAGCGGTTGGCCTCCGTTTCGCCACCGGCACTGGGATGGTGCGCTTTGATTGGTCAGACGGTCTGTCTAGCACCAGGCAGAAGCGCCGAGAATCTTATGTGAGCACGGATAGGTGCATGCGTATATGTGCATGTGTACATGCAGTAAAGCGTTTTCAATACCAAAGAGAAGCGCTCGCTCTTTCCATTAACATTACTCAGTACAGTCTATAGATACAATACTATACAGTTTTTCTCTGCCAACGCATCCGCATACCGCACTGAACTCCTCCGCCGCCCGCTGCCGCCCACGCCGACCTGCGAAAAGTCCACCGAGTACAGCGACGTCGGACTCGTCGTCGCGGCGTCGCTGGGGTGGGCCAGCAGCGCGTTGCGCGGGTCGGCGTGGACCTGCCGCGCCGTGAAGCCGTTGGCCTGGCTCGCTGTGCTGTCCTGACGAAGCGGGCGGGCCGGCGCAAGGTCGACGTAGCCCGCTTCTGCATCGGGGCGCACCGCGGACAGGGGCCGCAGCCACGAGCGCGGCGGGACGGGCGGGCTTGCCGGGCGGTCGTTGTCTAGGCCGCCAGCATCACCCGCCAACGGCTGGTCCAACCCGCTCTCCGACTCTTCGACAACATTGTCGAGCGTGAGGTGCGGGTGGTAGCGGCGCAGGGCGGCGGGCCATTCCCTGTCGTCGTCGCGGAGGGTCGGCGGAGCGGCGGTGGCGGCGGCCGGCGGCGACACGTTGAGCGGCGCCGGGATTAGGGGTGCCAGCGCCTCCAGGGCGGTCGGATTGTCGTGGTGGGCGAGGTCCCACTGGCCGGTAGACGGCTGCGTCTGGGGCTGCGTCTGTGGCTGTGGCTGCAGTGGCGGCCGCGGCACGGGCTGGCGCTGGTAGAGGGGCACGCCGCGGTAGCCGTCCTCCATGTCGTCCTGCGCGCCCTGGTCCCCGGCGACTTCGCCCGCGACTTCGCCCGCGACTTCGCCCGCGACTTCGCCCGCGACTTCGCCCGCCGCCCCCAGGTAGCTCAGGCTCGCCGAACTCCGGCTCAGAAGCGACTTGCGGATCATGTGGCGGCGCTCGCGCTCAGCCTCGGCCATCAGGGCGGCCTCGCTCATGTGGCTGCGGCGGCGGAACTGGCCCGGGGTGAGCTGGGGGTCGTGCTGCCGGGCCTGCTCGTAGCGCTGGCGGCGGCGGCGGCGGAACGTCAGCCACGTGGCCAAGGCCGCAGCAGCCACGACGGCGACGACAGCGCCCACGATGACGCCGGGCAGCCATTTGTTGGACGAGGCACCCGCGTGGGCCTTGGAGGCGGAGGAGAGGAGCGTCGGCGTGGTGGATGAGCTCGGCGTCGGATGGGTGGTGACGTTGCCGCGGAGGGCGACGGCGACGTGGTGGAGGGGCTGTGGGGGGAATGAAGAGGCGGATGTTTGCGAGGATGGTGAGAGTGAGGGTTGCGGCAGGGATTCGAGGAACGATGGTGAGGATGTTGGTGCGGATGTTGGGAGTGACGAAGCGGGTGAGACGGAGACAGGCACTGCTTGACTGGAGAGTGCCGGCGGCACAGTGGAGAAGGCCGGCATCGTGAAGGTGAGTGTGTGGTGTGTGCTGTCGTTGTAGTGCAATCGTAGATGTGAGATGAGATGCGTCCAAGAGAAACAAGGAATGGCGAGAAAAAAAAAAGAAGAATAAGGATCGTAGTTGAGGGCAAAGAGGTTCGCGTTTGTCTCTTTTGTCTGCGGGCTCTTCGTTCTCTATCTGTTGTGGCCGAGTGTGTTTACTGTCTCAGTCACCGCTCAGCCGCAGATGCAGTGTCCCGATGCAGGTTGGGCGTTGTGACCGATTTGGTGGCTGCGTGGCAGTGTTGAGAGGAGGGAAGAAGGGGAGAAGAACGAAAGACAAAAGATTCTAGGAAAGAAGGAAAGAAGGAAAAACAAAAGACATCGAGAAAGTGAGGACAAAAGAGACGATTCAAATAAGAGGTGTGTCGATCGAGCGACCGAGGACATCAAAGAGGCGACATAAAGACATAAATGCGACATAAAAAATTCAAAGACATAATGATTTCATGCTTCCAACCCACTTTGGAGGACGACGACTACCACAACGTATGGACTACATTCGCTACATGCGAAATACGGACGAGTGCGACATGTGGATGTGGCACGGAGGGAGCTGACTGGGTTGGCTGTGTCTCTGCCTACAGTTTCTGTCGATGTGGTATGTCGACGTGGTACCCGGACACAGACGACAGCATCGATCGTATTGCGAGGCGCGACGAGTAAAGAAACGTTTATTTCGTGACGACACCCGCCTTTCTCGTATGCTTTCTTAGTCTGGGTTGGGTTTTCGTGTCAGACCGGGGTCGGTCGCGGAATACGAGGTGCAGATGGTAGACCAGAGAGTGGCAGACGAGTGGCAGACGAGTGGCAGACGAGTGGCAGATGAGTGGCAGACGGACTGGCCGGATTTTGTTTGTTGGCTGTCTGCATTGGGTCATTTGTGCGGCTCGTGCTTGTCGGCTTTTCCTTTCCATTTTTCTTTTCTTTTCTCGTCTACGAAATACTTCTGGCCGTGATCGGTTCCTTGTTGGCTGGCCTCCCCGGACCGTTTCCTTTTTGGGGACTCTTAAGACGAGCATGGTAGAGTACGACGTCAAGGAAAACAGAAGAGACGAGAGAGATGAGAGAGACGGGAACGACTGTACAGACTGCAGTGACGGAGGCTCCGAGGCCAGAGGCTGTTGAAACGTTACGCTGTATTTGCGAGGGCTACGACGAGACGGTGTTCCCGCAGCGACTTGGGTGTCGGAGCAGGGGCTGGAGGACTGTGACCTGCATAGGGCATAGGGGATGGCGTTGTGATAAGTGCCTGCCGGAACTCGGACATGCAGACATGCAGTGACATGCTCTTTGATTGTGAGTGGATAAGAGGAGAGCAAAGGGGATTGGCGGGATTTCTTTCTTTTCTTTTCTTTTCTTTTTCCAAGAAAGCGACTTGGACTATCCAAGAGCAAGGTTGAATTGCTGGCCGAGTTGTGCTGCATTTATTATGAAGACTGATCTACGACATGAGAGAAGGCTGTGGTAGGGCTGTGAGTTGGCTGCTGTTCATTTGTTTGGGTTCTTATTTATTTGGTACGTCGTCGGGTCGTGTTTTGCTTTCCATTTTCTCTACTTTGAACAATACGCGAAAGAACAGAGGACATGGAACACAACATGGAGACAGCGAGTCCACAGTTTGTCCCACAAACTGCGGATCTCTGATCTTGTCCGGTTGTTATTTTTGGAACAGCCAAGGAGGATCCCAAAGAAAGAGACAGGGATTGTATGAAACGAATAGACGAGACCGGGTTGAGTTTGGTTATTTGGTTTATTGATTTCTGGACAACACGAATGACAAGAGACTGACAATACTTTGAGACAAAGGCCACATGCCCAGTCTACAATCCACAATCCACATCCACCTTCACTCCACTACATGCAGCTCTTGCACGCGTCGGGCTGCGTCTGTTAGTATATGTACGAGCACGAGCACACAAAGACTCCCACCGCCCAACTCACCACCGTCGACACCGCGCCCACCGCCTCGCTGAGACAGTCGGCGTCCTCGTGCAGGTCGCGGCCCTTGTCGGCGGCGGCCAGCGCGCACGCCTTGATCGAGGGGGCCAATGCTTCGACGCAGGCTGGGGGGGGGGGGGGGGAATGTACGTTAGCACGGCCCTGGACGGCTGTTGGGTGTGGACACCTACCCCGAATGTGGATGCACAGCTGGGCGGTCGCGACGGTGTCGACGGTCTCGACGTCGTCGACAGCACGCACGCTGTTGGCCGGTGCGGCAGCGACGACGGCCACGAGGGCGGCAAAGGCGACGATAAACTTCATGGCGGTGGTGCAGCGGTATAGAGGCGTGAAGTGCTGTACGGTTGTTGTGCGCTGTTGTCTTGGGCTGTTGTCTTGGGACATTTTTTCTGTGGCCTGGCAGACTTCCGTCTTGCGTCGACTGCCTTTTTATATCCGTCGACTCCATTCACCTCTGCATGACTCGCCACGGGCATCACGAGTCGCACACGTTGCTCGTCGTTGCGACTCGCCGCAGGATCGTAAAGGAATCTGCCGGATATAGATGCGCAGAACGTGTGCTGGCCTCCATGGCCGACCGAGGCAAATCCCCACTGCAGGCCGTCAGCCCAACTGCATCCTCCGCCTAATTACGTCGCGTCCTGGTAGGCAACGTAGAGTGGACGAACGGCCAGATGGTGTCCAGATGCTCTCCAGATGCCGTCCAGCTGCCATTCATATTAATTGGCTCTTCCACTGATCCATCTCCGTATCGTATCCTTCTCGTTGCCGACGATACGAGATGCTTGTTCTGTTGTATTACTGTTCATTGCTGTCTCTGCTGTCTCGTTGCTGGTCTGCAGAATAGAGTACATGCGTCGGTCTACCGACTACGTCGGTCTACCTGCTACGCCGCGTCACGCCTTTGTCGCCTCCGCCTCCACCCTCTCCACCGTCGCCTCCACCTTCTCCGTCATCAGCGCCTTCACCCCGCGCAGACACGCCACCGCCGCCGTCGCCAGCACCACAAACGGAATGATGCTCGACCACGCCAGCCGGTACGCGTGCGCATACTCGGCGCGGCTGGCCGTGACCGCCGCGGCCCAGACGGCCGCCGTGGCCCCGGGGACGTCCGCCGAGCCGACGTCGCCCGCGGCAAACGCGGCGAGGAGCGCGGGGGCGCTGGACGCCGGCAGCCCGGCCTGCACGGCGGCGTCGCGCACGGCCGGCGCGTAGTGGCTGTTGATGTAGCCGTTGATGATGGCGTCGAGGACGGCGGAGCCAAAGGCGCCGCCGATGGCGCGCGCCGAAAAGGCGAGGCCCGTGGCGGTCGACAGGTAGGCGTGGGGGGCCGTGAACTGCACGCAGGCGACGAGCAGCGTCAGCGGGCCCGACTGGCCGATGCCGGCGAGCACGCTGATGCCGATCTGGGCGGCGTTCCAGTGCGGCCGGATGTTGGCGTAGGCGACGGTGACGACAAAGAAGAGCACAAAGGTGACGAGCAGCGGCGTCTTGAGGTCCTTGTAGTAGGTGGCGTAGAGCGTGATGGGGACGGACGTGAACATGGTCGCCAGCGTGTAGCTCAGCTGGCGGATGGAGATGCGCCAGGCGTTCGTCTGGAAGCCCAGGTTCAGCACAATCTGCGGCACCACCGAGTTGACGGCCGAGTAGAAGATCCAGCCCTCGACGGCAAAGGCAAACACGGACAGCGCAAAGTTGGCGTTGTGCCGGAAGAAGACGTGCGCCAGCAGCCCGTCGCGGCGGCCCTTCCACTCGTAGGCGCCAAAGGCCACGAGCAGCGCCAGCCCTATCGCGAGCGGCGCCGCCACGTGCGCGTCCGACCACGCGTACGTGCCGCCGCCCCAGTCGAGCGCCAGCAGCGTCAGCGTGGCGCCCGCCACAAACAGCAGCGAGCCCACCGGGTCGCACGCCCACACGTAGCCCCAGACGGACAGCCGGTCCTCCGCCGACCGCGCGGGTCTCTTCGGCCAGTAGAACAGAAACAGGCCCAGGCTCGTCGCCAGGTGAAAGGCCGCCTGGATCCAGAAGATGGACCGCCAGCCCGACGGCGACGCGTTCGTCACGGCGCCCGCGCCCAGCGACCCGACCAGGCCGCCCACGGCGCCGCCCAGAAAGGCAAAGCCGTTGGCCAGCGCGCGGTACTTGAGCGGCAGCACCTCGGACGGGATCGCCTGCACAATGGCAATGGTCGCCAGCGTCGTGCCGATCAGGATGCCGCCGCCAATCAGCATGGCCATGGACGTGGCCTTGGCCGACACCACGGCGCCCACAAAGGCCACGAGCGGCGGGCCCGCGGCCAGAAACTTGCGGTCCAGCACGTCCGACAGCCGGCCCACAATCGGCGACAGCACGCTCTGCATCAGCAGCGGGCCCTGGATGATCCAGCCCGAGATGCTGGCGTCGCCGAGGTCGCGCACGATAAAGGCAATCACGGAGCCCGCCGCGACGACGACAAACACCTGAGCCATGATGCTGGAGGGGAGGGGGACGAGTTAGTAGGCACAGAACGAGGGGGAGGCAAGGGGAGAGCGCATGGAGGACACCCACGCAAAACAGGTGATAAACACAACCAGCCAGGACCGCCAGCTCAGATGGATGTGCACGGCATTGCGCACCGCCTCTTCTTCGATGGGCACGACGTCGAGCTCGGCATGGTCGTGGGGGTTGGTGTGCTCGGCATGAACTGTGTGCTCGGCGTGGACTGTGTTGGTTGTGTTGCCGGGCTCGACCTCGACGGGCGCGACCGACTGGATCTCGACCCCGTCGGACTTGGTTTCGGCCATGACGAATGTTGGATGTAGACAGGAAAGAAAAAGGCAGCTGACCTGTTGGGAAAAAGGGTGGAGAGAAGTGTCAACAAGAAGCCAAACTGACCACGATGCAACTTCCTGGAGCTATATAGGAGACGCCCCAACCCAGGAAGAAAGCTTCCTAGGAATAGACGAGAGTCACATTGCACACGCAGGGACGGACACACAGACACAAGCAGTACGAGTGCCGGAGGTCCAGGCCTACCAACTGCCACCCAGCGAACCCACCATCCCTGGAACCAGAACCAGGAAACAAATGCAGGAGGCAATCGTTGGAGACGAGAGACCTTACGACGGATGAAAACAGACTGACGCCAACAGAGTGACAGCCAATTCTGGGGAACTGGAGAGTCTCCATGTGGGGAAATAACAGTCCAGTCGTGTAAGTGGATGGGGATTGGGCGAGATTGGGCAAGACTGGGGATGACCATGACCAAAGCGGCCAAAACAACTAAAAACGACCAAAAAACGACGCTTCGGAGACATACTGCCAGCGGGGTTTTCTTTGTGGGCCAACGGTCAAGGGTGACCAACCTGTTGGCCGGCAGTTGTAAGTGCCAGTACGACGTACTTCACGAGGAATGGCACGACGCAAAAGAAGACAAGTGAAAAACAAACTACGCTGACACCCGATACCAAATCAAGACTGAGAGCCTTGATACCCTGCCGTCCTTTCTGTTTATTGTTTAGTCCCACGAGCCCCGAATGGCTTTCGTGACAGAACATGCCAACTGTGGCATTCTTTTTCGGCTTTTCCGCTGGTCCAAAGAGTCTCGATACCGTAAAAGAAAAAGGGTAATGAATCAGGCAGGGTTCTTAAAATTTGGAGACGGACAAAAAGGAAAAAGGGTCCGAGAGGGGAAACTGACGAATGACGACGTCGACGTGATGCTATGATGCGCAGGCACGGCAGATGAGGAGAACTTTGCGTTTGCTGACACGGCCGAGGGCAAAGAGAGGGGAAGAACAGTCAACTTGGTGGTGGATGTGACGTAAACGGCATGTCGCTGACGATTGGTATAGCGAACGATGGTGCCCTATTAGTAGTAGCAAGTTGCCGACCAGAGATGAAGCTTCTGTTGTCAATATATAACGGGAGACGAATAAAGAGCAACTCACAACGTCCTCAACACAATGCCACAAAAATCAACAAAGGTCAAGAGTTCACGACATGGCCGACAAAGGCTGAGCTGCGTCGGCCTGACTTGGGGACTGTCGCCTTCCGTACCGACAATGCACAATGTTCGTCGGGCGGCAGCCTGCTAGTAGCAAGCCAGAAAATGGCCGCGAGACCACACTCGTGGCCTCCTTCGCAATCTTACCAGCGCTCGTGATGCACATCGCCGGTCCGCGTGCTTCCCAACTCTACTGGGAGGTTCGTCGAATCGGTGAGGCATACAAAATAGCAGCTGGGAATACGCTAAATACCTATAACAAGTTGTTGGCGTCGCCGGGCACGATCAAGGCGACCGGTGCCCCATGAAAGCGTTGACGTGTGCGACAGACGCCGTGATGCATTCACAAGACTGCGAAAACGATCTTCTGGAATGCATCCATGCGGCCACGTTGACCATCATAGAGGCTGCAGATGTCGCTGTGGACGTGGACGTGAACGTGGACAGCGCCGACGACTCTTCGTATGACAGCGAGGACACTCTGTGCCCGTCGTGCGGCGAATAGCGAGGCAACCACGCCCCGGTCAAATGTATCTCGGACGGTGTAGCCATCTAGAGCAATGGACAGTGTCAATGCATCACTTGCAAAAGCATGGGACTGTCAGCTCCAAATGCACTAAATACACTGGTCGCACTACGTAAAACTGCAAACTACGCAGCCTGTTTTGACGTCCATATAGCGCAGATAGAGTGCCCCACTTGATCTTGCGCTGGCCATTGAAAAATATCCGTTTCAACTTCATCTCAGCCTTGTGAGACCAGTGCAGACCATAGCAAATCGCATCCACGCCCACAACCACCACAATGGACGATCCACACAACGACGAGGTCTTGAGTCATGCCGAGTTCTGGGACGGACGGTATTCCGTGGCGGTGAAGGAAGGTGCTGAGGCGAAGACTGAGAGTACAAAAACAGCGCCAACCGACGAGCCAACACACGAGTGGTTCCGCTCCTACAGCGACCTCGAGCCGTTTTTGGCCAACGTGCTGTTTGGCCGGCCAAGATGTCGACCGGCCGACAATCCCAGTGTCCTGCACCTCGGGTGTGGTGATAGTGTACGCCGCTGTGTCCATTGCACATCGATTGCTCCTAGGTTTGCTTCAGAATGCTAACTGTGCCCAGGTCATCCCTGCTGAACTCGAGACGCGCGGCTACCGCAACCAGCTCTGCGTCGACTTCTCGTCGACGGTGATCCAGCTGATGACGGCGCGGTACGCGGGCCGGTCCATGCGGTGGCAGCAGATGGATGTGCGCCACATGACCGACGTGCCCTCGGCGTCCGTCCACGTCTGCTTCGACAAGGGCACGCTCGATGCCATGATCCACGGCAGCCCGTGGAGCCCGCCGGACGATGTGCTGGACAACACGGGCCGCTACTTGCGGGAGGTGTACCGCGTGCTGGCAGACGAGGGCGTGTTTGTGTACGTGACGTTCCGGCAGCCGCACTTTATCCGGCCCCTCTTTGACAAGAGTCTGCAGGGCGACGACGGCAAAGCGTGGAGCATGGAGCTAGAGATTCTAGGCGGCACAGAAGGGACGTTCAACTATTATGGCTGGGTCATAATGAAAGGGAAGTCGAGTCAATAAGAGCAGAGCAGCGGCGAATCAATAAATTGTTTGTCGTCTCTAAAAATAAAAGAAAAACGAAAACGAAAAAAACATTGGCCATCTACAACAACGATTGGAGATGGTCCAGGCTAGTAATAAGGTCGGCCATGGCAGCATCGGCCGAGACCAAAATTTCTGTTTTTATTTCCCGGGCCCGGGCTAGTACATTTTCTCTTTCGACGTTTCCGACGATGCCTCGCCACTCCTGCATGGCCGAGGCGGCGTACCCAGTGATTGCGCGTCTCTCGTTGCCCGGTGCTGTTTCCAGCACACGGACAAGGTCGGTCGCCAGGCGTGTTGATTGCTTCGCCCAGAGAATTGCCACCGAGAGGGCCTCGGCCGGGTCCGCGCGAGTGGGAGTGGGCTGCGCAACCACGGCTTTCGCCATGGCTACGGGCCTCTATCCTAGCTCCAAGACCCTCTTTTCTCTTCACGGCGCTTCCGGTTGTCTTGGTGGTGACGGCACAAGTGGGACGTCATGATCACGGTCGAGCAGTGGCAGACCCAGGTCTAGATACGAGTCAGAGTTTGTCAGTATGGACTCCTTACTCACGTTTTATGGTCGGATGAAGAACAGGTACCTGTCACCGGATGGAAGAATATCTGCGCCCTTGATCTTGGACGAATTCATCAAGAAGGAGCACGTGTTGGCTGAAAACGTCACCTCCCCCGGATTGAAGGAAGCATTGTTTGAGAAGGATATTATTAAACGGTGGGATGAAGTTACGTTGAGACGTGTAAATAGATGTAAGAATGATGTTGACGCAGATGTAAACAGGAGAATTTGAGAGCGATGTAATAAACAGGACATGATGTGTGTGGCAAAAGGATGTCGAATGATGAGACACCAGAATTGGACATCATGTGCACGGCCTTGTTCCATTGTTTGTTTACGCGTCAGTGTCGTACGGCCTCAGAGGAAAGCGCGACCAATGCTTCGCGTTGGGAAGGAGCAATGGGCATGCGTGGAAGGTGCATTCGGTCTTGCCAGCCCATGGATGTGGTCCTTCCTGATTGGGGCGTACACTGTTAGAATAATAACAGACGATAGAAGGAAGAATGATGCATTGAGGCAAAAAGTATTGGAAGAATCTAGCCATCGTAACAATGTGTATTGATATCGTCGTATAGAATGGGCAGAGGACATGCTTGAATACGTGACTGGAAATCGGTTCTCACTTTGAATTGAGAGCGTTACTCAAAATAGAGGTAAAGAAGTATAAGATGAAATATCTTTGGAATGGGGGAATAATATATAAATATATAAAAACGTACAAAGGTCAGTAATAAATATTCGAAACGAATCAAAAACAGGAAAAGGGAAAAGAAAATATTCTGTTTTGTAGAAATAAAAATAAAATAAAATCATAAAGGCAAGAGAGCATTCGACTAATCAAGAAGTTGGCGAGCTGCTGAACCACTTCATCTAAAGCAAGGGGACATGCAATTTCTTCTACAAAGTAAGTTTACGAATACAGGTTGACATACAGTACGACAGCTGTCGTGAGACAGGGACCCGACATGCGACCAGGCTCAGCTTTGCGGTTGCGCTCTGTAGAGCGGAACATAGTTAGACCGATTTATACCTATACCTACACGACAGCCTTGGACGTTTTGTGATGCTTCTGTTCGAACACGTCTGCTTTCTCGCTCACTCGCAATTGATGGACTCGAACTCTTCGAGCTGGATGGCTCTGCCGAGTGCAAAATGGACCTCCTTTGATCCCTGGAACTATGGGGGGATGAAGGAGCGACTCGAAGAGTTTATCGCAAAGCTTGACACTGCTGTTTTGGTGGACCATGCGCAGCAGATTCTCGTACAAGCCGTGACACTCAGCAAACCCTTCTCAGCGGGACAATATTGGATTTGCTTTGAGCTTGTTGCCAAAGACAAACGTCTCGTCATTGCACGGGTCCGCCTACCACGACATCCTGACACGCCTTTGGCACTCAGCGACGAGGATGAACAGTACGCCATTGGCTGCGAAGTGGCGACGATGAACTATGTCAGAAAGCATCTTCCAGACGTCAAGATTCCCACAGTATACGCCTACGAACCCGCTGGGTCGCAGTTGGCCTCTGCTCTCGGTGCCCCGTACATGCTTATTGAAGGCTTCTACGGGAACACACTCCAGGATGTCGAGTTTGACATGTGCGATCTTCCTGTCAGTGCCTCGCTCTCATACTTTCCTATGTGTCTCCTTTGTTTGCTAACGACGATACGCCCAGGTTCGTACTCAAGAACACATCATCACACAGTGGACTCGCGTACAAGCTGAGATTGCTACTCTGTCATTCTCCTGCATCGGCTCCATTTCGTCTATTAGTAAAGGTGATGGAGAAGAACCCAGCTTGGGCAAACTGGCAGCAGCACCCTTGGACGGGCTAGACAACGCCGGACCGTTCTCAAGTACGGCTGCATACTTCAAAGCCATCGCCGACTCCACAGTCAACAGGGAACAGCACGAGAGCAGTCGTCGTCCTCCTGGCGGCCGTCTCTCCTGGTCCGCATTGGGCGCCTATGTGTTTCACGACATTGTATACAACACGTCCGTCTACCCAGACATGGAGGGCGAACGCTTCCCTCTCAACCACATGGATCTCGGCACCCAAAACATTCTCGTGGACAGCGCGTTCAACTTTGTCGCCGTCATCGACTGGGAGTTTGCCCAATCGGCTCCCTGGGCCGTCAACCACTACCCAATGCCCTTCCCGCTGCTCGACTCGGACGCGGAGATCCAGGCCATCTTGGCCGACCCGACGCATCTGGCCTACGAAAACATGTCGAGACAGGAGGCGGCGCGGGAAATGTATGTGAAAGGATTTCGCGCCGCAGAGACGGCACTTCAGGAACAAGGCCGGACGCTGGCCGGCGGCTCCTTTGCAGACGTCTTGGACAGTCCTTCGTCGCGCATCTACGCATGCTTTACGCGTCTGGGACGGATGACCAGTGCCGATCAAGGCTTGGTGCAGGAGATGGTACGGCTTGCATTTGGTTTCGACAGGGAAAAGACAAAGGTTTACCTGCACGATCTCGAAACGAAGGTTTTCGCAGAGGGAACGTCCATACAGAAAATTCATGAAACAGACCTGGAGGAGACATGTGTTTTTTGTGTGGCAATGACATAATGAATACAATTTTTTGAAAGAATATACAACTTGAAAAGAACGAGAAAACGACGCAAATAAATGACCTAATAATAATAAAAACCAAGAAAAAAAAGGTCCTACCACAACGAGAGACGATGAGGTTTGTGAGGTGGTCATCTGAAGCTGGTTGTGAGAGACTGTTCAGCGGAGCAGTTCACTGGCGCCCCTTTACACTGAGCAATTCACTAACACCCACAAAATATGAGCTATGATCTGGGGATCTTATAGTGGAGCAGCAGCAAACAAGAGCTGCTTCAGCTGTCAGGCGCTAAGTCGCTACATAGACATGAGGTCCTTCCCTGTCGGGATTTGGTCGGATCATTAATTTTCCACCGCTTTTTTCTGCCGCTCTCTAGCAACAACCGCATCGCGTGCAGTCTTTGACCTCATCTGGCGAACGAGGCGACAACATATACACGACGACCACCTCCACAGCGACCCAATTGAGACGACAGCGCTCGTCCCAGGTCTTTTCTATTCATAACTCGCTCCGACGACACCCCGACCACCCCACAATGGCCGCACCATCGGCGCTTTCTGCCCTGCCGGGCCGTCTCCTGGCCTCCTTCACAAACTGCCTCACATTATTGCGGCCAACAACAGCACCACACATCACAGCCTCCACCTCCGCCTCCACCTCCACCTCCACCGCCCGCCCATTTTCGTCCTCGACGCCGCGCCCGGCCGGCCCCCCACCGGGCGCCGCCTTCCACGGCGGGCAGCCCATGCGCCGGTCTAAGCGCCACCAGGTCGACCGCGACCCCAAGATCAAGATCCTCGACAAGGCCCTGTACAAGCTCAAGTTTGTGCCGCCGCCGCTGCGCATGGGCCGCAACCGCTACCTGCGGCACTGGACGATCCACCGGGCGTGGCTGCTGTTCCGGCGGCAGCAGCGGGAGGCGCGCGAGCGGGAGCTGATGCAGCAGTACCAGAGCATGGCGAATGCGTGCGAGGCGCTGCGGACGATGCGCGGGCCGGGCCTGCGGGACGAGGGGTACCTGTACCGGGTGGCGATGGAGAAGAAGGGGGTGTACCGGCACGGGGGCGTGCCCATTGAGTATGCGCGGATGCAGACGGAGACGCCGGCGCGGGAGGCATGGAACCACGACTGGAAGCGGTAGAGAGCAAACAGCGAGCGATCGACCGGTGAGAGCAACAACTTGCACGTACTGTACATTAGCATGACAATCAATAGACTACCATTGGATCAACAGTTTTGGATGTAACACGACGAAAATGGCTTGGCGGCACGGTATGGCAAACACCAGCTTATGTGAGCCTATGAGAAAGTGACGCTACATAGTCGAGATGACAAGGCACGAATGCGACCAGTTCCTTTCTGAGAACACCAAGCAGCACGTGCCAATAGTTTAGGCATCAGAGTGGTACAAGATGGCATTATATAAAGGAAGGGAAGAAAAGAAAAGGGAAGCAAGAACATTAGCTTGGTTGATGCCAGTCGTGGGAGGCTCGTTACAGAGTAAGTAGAAAAGTCAAACAGAAAACTGAAAAGGAAACAGACAGGAAAAAGACGGCTGATACAAAGTAGCGTTGACAATGTCATAATGCACAACAAAAAGAAAACAAACGTCTTTCGAGCCCAGCAAATTTTTGTTCCGTAGGGGCCTGCTATGAGCATTACAGAGAGAAGGACGAGACAGACCAGAAGGAAAAAGAAAAAGACAAAAGGAAAAGAGACGGCTTTATCAAAACGCCCACACCTCGCTTGTTCAGCTGCTTTTTCTCGCTCGCTTTGTCCCTTTGCCCGTTTTGCCCAGCTCATTCACCCTTTCGCCCATGCTCACGTTTTTCAACCATCTCCCGTCTCTCCTTTGTCATCCTCCTTTTTGGACCTCTCCCCACCATTTGGTTCGTGTCCTCGTTCGGACAATGGTAGGGGTGCTCGGTATATTAGTACAAGGTCTGGTTTGTATCGTCGTAGCGCTGGTGTAGTGTGATGTAGTATGGTGACGTTTGTATGTGGTGCAGTCTGTGTGCAGTCTAGGTGCAGGAGGATCGTCTGGTGTATGTTGATAAGAGGTCGTAACGAGTGGTCGCGACGCAATGTATATGTCGCAGTGGTAGTGGCGGCAGCAAGTGATGGTAGTGGTGGTGTGAAAGCGTCGTCGCATGTATATGTACAGTGGCGTCGGGGCGCTTGACATGGCGTTACGATTCGGTGGTGGCGGTGGTGATAATGAACAGCCGCCTTCGGCAACGGGGTCGGCGGAAGAATCCGGGATCAGAGCCGTCTATAAGATGACACAGCAGCCGCCGCCCTCGCTCCGGTCAAACGTCAGCAGGGCGGCCCGCGTGGCCGCCTCAAAGACGTCGTCGACGCCCTCGCCCGACAAGCTCGAGCACTCCAGGTACTTGCGCGCGCCAATCTCCTTGGCCGCCGACTCGCCTTCGTGCTTGGTGACGAACCGCAGGCTCTTTTTGCGCATCTCCTCGACGGCCAGCGGGTCCTCCCGCAGGTCCTTTTTGAGGGCCACCAGGATAATGGGCACGCCGGGGCACCGCTCCGTGGCCTCTTCGATCCACTTGTGCTTGACGTTGTCGAGCGAGTCAGGGGTGTCGACCGAGAAGCCAATGAGGATCACATGGGCCTTGGCGTAGGCCAGCGGCCGTAACCGCTCGTAGTCTTCCTGGCCGGCCGTGTCCCACAAGGCGAGCTGGACGTTGCGGCCCTCGACGCGGCAGTCGGTCACGTAGTTTTCAAAGACGGTCGGGATGTAGTGGGTGGGGAAGTAGCCGAGTGTGAAGACGCTCAGCAGGGACGTCTTGCCGCAGGCGCCATCGCCAATGATGACGAGTTTCCTGGATGTGTTAGAGCGTGCGTGGGTGACAACAATGGCAGATGGCGGATGGCAGAGGGGACAAAGTTAGGCTGCCTACCTGCGGATGACATCCCGCGCGGCGCCGGTGCTCGCCATGACACGCTGTTTTGTCGCCGCGAGACGTGCCGCGATGTCGACCGGGTCAGACGGCCGGGCTAGACAGAGACAAGAACAGGCGGAAGCCGGAACGGAGGCCGGGAGGTGTTGGATGCCCCCTGCTCGCGGAGCTCGTCAAGCGTGTAGGAAGAGTGTCGCCGGCGAAGTCGATGGGGTATGGCGAGCTCAGAGGCTGAGAGGCCGACGTGCACAATGCCGGGGCACTCGGGTGTTGCGGCCAATCGACGTCTGATAAACGATGGGGCGTGGTTTCTGGGTGGTGGGCGTTGGGGGCGGGATGTGATGGGCGGACTTTGGTGTGAATGGGACAGGGGGAAGCGGACAAGGCCGTGGCCGAGGAATTGTTGCTGGTCGGATTGTCGAGATGTCGTGGGAAATGAGTTGGGGAGAGAAAGATGAAAGTAGGAGTCGAGGACGAGAGGGCAGAAGTAGTAAAGAGGAAGGGACGAAAAGAAAACGAAGACAAGACGAAAGGCGAAGGACGAAAGACGAAAAGAGGAGGGACTAATGAGCGGGCACCAAGCGATCCGGCCAGGGCGTTTTTGGACCTGGGCGGGGAAGGAGGGAAAGGAGGGCGTATCTTTACCGGTATCGTACAGAAGTACAGCGGCGTGGTGGTGGTGTATTGGTGGTGTGGTGGGCGTCGTGAGCCCCGTTTGGTTGGCCCCAGTCGAACGGTCCTTCCCCAAACGAGACGAAAGATGCCCTGCTGGGCAGGCAACCGGCCGGGATTAGGTAACTGGCCAAGTCTGTACGCATTAATTCGCCGTAAAGCGCCTGGGGCTGCAGTGTGCTCGACGCAGTGAGATATCGAACTGGCGACGAATGGGCGAGAAACATGCCGCTGCGGTTCCAAGCGGCCTCGCCGTGGTATGACAGACTCACTCGTGCGGCTGGCTGCAGCAGTGTCGAGCGTGTTTACGCGAGAACAATGCCATTGCAGGGACAAGGATGCAGTACAGAAGTACGGAGTATTACCGAATACTGACTTAGTGGCTGGCGCCCAACGCCAGCGAAATACAGGGGATTCAGGGGATACAGGGTACAGAGGCTACAGGGTACAGAGGCGACAGGCTATACAGGGAGTCGACGTAGGGGACAGAAGCAGAACGAGAACAATCGATGAAAGAATCAAACATGAACGGATGGAGAGGAACTTTACTAGAAATACGTAAAAATATAACAATACAACAATGTAGAAAAGTATAAAATGTACAATAAAATCAAAATAAAGGCATCATGGATCATGGATCTGCCTTGGCAGCAGAGGCCGCGACGATGCACTCGGAATGGGCGTATTGTTGTTCTTTTCCATCTTGTCTCTTCTCCTTTTTTTGTTCCTTTTATTTATTTGAATTTTCTGCTTCGTTTCCCGTTTCTTGTCATGGTTCACCAGGCTGCAGATATCCGGCTTGCTTTCAACGTTACTACCAATACGGTCACGCCGTACTTTGTTCATGTTTCGTTACCTGTAACGTTCATTTTCTCGTTTCTGATTTCATATTTTCTACAACGGATGCCGCCCTCTTCCTACTCGTATTCCTCGACCCGCCGCAAAACCAGTCACTCGTGGAGGCTGTGCAGGATGGGGCCGTTTCGGCTTGCTAAGATATATTTCTGTTTTTCCCAATTGGGCTTACGAGTGCAGAAGTACACAGACAAAACGTCGTCCTCCATTCTTTGAAAATTCAATAGACACGGGAAAGCAGGGACAGACAGCCAGCAAACGCAATACGACCGACGGCAGCAGCAGCACACTGCTCGTTTTCCTGACCGAGTCAAGATCTTAAGGCGTACTCCCCACTTGTTTGGCAGTCCTAGCCGAGCGGATGCGTTCACAGGCACAAGGTAATTACAGCGCAGGGAGCATTATCCATACAAGAAAAGCACACAGAAGGATGCAACGACATACTGGCGGCGTGTGAGTGGCCAGGCCAGGCCAACGGCTTTTAGGACTTCTGCCTTCCTTGCCTGCATGTGCGCGCAGTGGACGAAACGGTTACTGTACATTCGTCTGTACGTCTGTACTCCCTCTCCGTACATTGTGCACTTGTGCATACGACGGACAGCAGCGCTATTGCAGCCGTAGCGGAGGACGAGAGCAACGTAAACGATGCAGCACAAGCAAGCCGGGGCCAACAAGGCAGCCGTGTCGAGTCATTTGTCGAGACCTTTGACATAACCCATTGAGGCCACCCATGGCACGGCGCGGCTACGACGACGGCGGACACCCCTGTCAGGCCAAGCCGGCGGCTACGAAGAAAAGGTGGAGTGATAAGACGTACAATTGCGAGTGCGTCACCTTTGACGCATCGTAATGAATGCTCATAAGATGTGGTGACGGCTTTGGGACTTGAAGCTGTGGGAAGCCATCTTCACAGCAAAGCGCTCCTGCCTCAAATGCGATCGAGACATAGTGTTCAGTAAACAGATCTAAACAGATCTAAACAGATCTAAACAGATCTAAACAGAAATGGCAGGTGCTGGTCCAGCCCTTACCGAGATTTCCAGGAAGGCGCGCTCCGTCGGCCTCACTAATCGTGGACAGCGCCGGCAGTGTGTCGAAGCTCTGCAGCCTTTGCCATTGTTTGCATTCTAAATTCGCCCAAGCCCTTAGACGAACAAAGAGCTTCCCGTGCTGCTATGACCTTTGTAAACACAAGTATGTTGTACTATGTAAATGGCAAACCATCGACTCCAAGCGCACGCCCAGTGTTGAAAGTTGCCAGCCAGACCACGTGACTTCACCGCTGTCGCCACATTGTACCCACCCACGCGCCACAACGCCCAAAAGTACCTCCACGGAACCTCACCCTGTTCCTTCTGCCGAAGCCCTCTCGCCCACTGTAGCTGCTCTTTCCCGCCAAACTGCCCACTGTGCGTGCCGGACCAAACGACCAATCCGCACCAAACCCCAAACGACCTAACAGCGCCAAAGTGACCCAAGGGCCAAACGACGTCTCCTCTCTGTCTCTTCACCACCACTCCGACAATATCGTCACATCCACCTCAGCCTCACCCACCCCCGACACCCGCACACGACAAGACAGCGACTGTACCCGTTCCAATTGCACGTACACTCGCACCTGTTGCCGGAACGACCGACGAGTGCGCACTGGGCGGCCACTGCGTCTCGTCATTTCTGCATTCCTTCGTTTCTACTCACGCCCCGCCGGACCGGCGAAAGAACCAGGACCATCGGCCCGGCGCCCTGAGCGACGTCGACCTCGCACGCGGTGCTGTACGATTGTGAGTTTCTGCACGGCATCTGGGGGCGACGGCCTTGCGTCGTCCCTTGCCTGGCCTGGCTTCCCCCCGAACTGCAGCACGACCACAGCCCCACAAACGCATTCTCTGTCGGCACCTCTTCGGCTCGCGGACACGCCTCTCGCGTGACACCCCCAGTCGTTCACCAGGCTCCATGTTGCTGACCCTCGACTGGCTAGATTTGATCGCTGCGACCTTTCGACCTTGTACCCTCGTTTTTCAGTTTTCCTTCGACCGCTATCTCGTCCTCCTTTCCCCATGTGTCTGGGCACTGGATCGTCTCGTTGACCAGAAAGAATGAAAGGCAACCGCCGGAACCACCCGCCACCGCCCCCGTCGGCCAGCGGTGCAGCAGCAGCAGCAGCAGCACCGGCAGTGGCGGCAGCGACAGAAGCGACGACAGCCAACGGCGCCCTGCCGTCACCGACCTCTCCGTCCGCCAAAGGCACTGCCAAGTACACCAACAAGGATGGCTCCAAGTTTATCACCGTCCCCAAGATTGGCAGCCCCGGGTCGCCAACGCCATCAACCGATGCCACTGCAACTGCACCGCCGCTGCCAGCCCTCTCTCCGACGCGACCTTCTCCCGAAGCGACTTCGACCGACATGGCGGCCACGGCGTCGCAGGACGCTGCGGCCGCGCCGACGGCCGGCAACCGCAAAAAGGCCAAGCGAAGGGCCAAGGCGGCGGCACGAAAAGCCGAAGAGGACAGCGCGGCGGCCGCAGGGACAGTGTCCGGCGTGTCGTCCTCACCCCCACATCCAGCACCGCCAAACGGCACCAACGGCGTGTACACCATAGACCTGGGCGACAAGCCGACGACCGGCTCGACACCAAAAGCGACACTGGCCCACCACGAAGCCGGTGACAGCGACGACGAGGGCGACGACCACCACTACGGATCGACGACGGCGGCAACAGACGCGCCGCCGACGTCTGTGCAGGCGGAGGGCACGGCGAGCAAATCGAAAAAGTCCAAGAAAAAGAAGAAGAAGAAGAAGGACAATGCGGCGACCGGAGGCGATGCCCCCGCCAATCTGCAGCTTCAGCATCCACACCAGCAACACCACGATCCGTACCGTGCACCGCCGCCAGCAAAGCAGCAGCAACAGCAGCCGCGGCCGTCGGCATCGTCCAAGGAAAAGATTTGGAACACCAACTCGCAAGAGGAGCGCCAGCGGATCAAGGAGTTCTGGCTGGACCTGAGCGAGGACGAGCGCAAGTCGCTGGTCAAGGTCGAAAAGGACACGGTCCTCAAGAAGATGAAGGAGCAGCAGAAGATGACGTGCAGCTGCCACTTTTGCGGCCGTAAGAGGACCGCGATCGAGGAGGAGCTCGAGGGCCTGTACGACTCGTACTACGAAGAGCTTGAGCAGTTTGCCAACGACCCGGCTGGCCAGCAGCAGCAGCAGCAGCAACGACAGCCACTACAAAATGGCGGCCGACCGCCGGCGCTGACGGCCAGCGACAGTCGCTCTGGGCACGGCCACTCGAACGGCCGCGACGCCGCCCACCCGCCTGCCCACGCACACAGCCACGCGCACCACCACCAACACCATCACCCCGGACATCGTTCCGGCTCGGCCTCGGGTCGTAGTCACAAGCCGTCGCGCGGCCGCATCGTACGGCACGGTGACGACGAGGGTGTGGACGACGATGACGTGGACGAGGCGTACGCGGACGAAGAGGAGGACGACGGCGACGAAGAAGGGGACTACGAAGAGGAGGACGACGAGAGCGACGAGGACGACGACCTCGATGACCCGGACGAGGTAGACGACGACGAGGACGACGAGGACGAAGACGACGAAGAAGACATCCCGCCCGACGAGATCCACCGCGACTACGCCAACGACTTTTTCAATTTCGGCAACTCGCTGCAAGTGCACGGCGGCATCCTGACCGTCGCCGACGACCTGCTCAAGAACGACGGCCGCAAGTTTATCGAGATGATGGAGCAGCTCGCCGAGCGACGTATGGCGCGCGAGGAGGATGCGAAAGATCAATACGCGGGCGGCGTCGGCGGCGTCGGCGGCGTCGGCGGCCGCGGTGTCGGTGTCAGTGTCGGCGGTGCGAGCGGCTATGGCCCGCCTGGCATAAACGGCGGCGCCTACGGCCACAACCACCACCTTGCTTCCGAGGAAGAGGACTACGGGCCCGAAGACGAGGACGACGAGGACTACGGCAGCGAGGACGAGGAGTACGACGAAGAAGAGGTCATATTTGTTAGTAGAGCCAAGGACTGCCCGTGTGGGGGTTCCAAGGGTCCCAAGGACCCCAAGGACCATGGTTTATCTGTTTGGGTGCTAACGAACGTCGGTAGGACACCATGACGGAGGAGCAGCGCATGGAGGAGGGCCGCCGCATGTTCCAAATCTTCGCCGCGCGCATGTTTGAGCAGCGTGTGTTGACGGCGTACCGCGAAAAGGTGTCGAAAGAACGCCAGCAGCGCCTGTTTGACGAGATTGACGAGGACAATGCGCGCCAGCAGAAGCGCGACGAGAAGCGCGCCAAGGACGCGCAGAAGCGCAAAGACAAGGCGGCGCAGAAGAAGAAGGCCCTGGCCGACGAGAAGGCGCGCAAAGAAGCCGAGCGCGAGGCCGAGCTGGCAGCGCGCCGCGCCGAAGAGGCGCGCCGCGACGACGAGCAGAAGCGCAAGGCCGAAGAGAAGCGCAAGAAGCGCGAGGCGCAGCGCAGGGCCGAGGAGGAGGAGCGCCTGCGCAAAGAGGCCGAGCGCCTGCGCCGCATCAACGAGCAAAAGGACCAGGAGCGCCGGGCGCGCGAGGCCAAGGAGCGCGACAAGAAGCTCAAGGAAGAGGCGCGGCAGCGCGACCGGGAAGACCAGGAGCGGCGCGAGCGCGAGAGCCGCGAGCGCAAGGAGAAGCAGGAGCGCGACAAGCGCGAGAAGGAGGCGCGGGCGCGGGCCAACGAGGCACGCGAGCGGCAGCGCCAGGAAGAACGGGCGGCCCAGAGAGCGGCGCCGTCGGGCTCGGGCTCGGGCCCAGCGCAGACGAGAGCCCCCGTCCCCGTCGTGCCCGTCGCCACCGCCACCGCCACCGCCACGCCGACAGGACCGTCCGTCACACTTCCGAAGCGCCCGTCGTCGGACCAGAGCCAAAGCCAAAAGGCGCCCGTCCCCGTCCCCGTTCCCGTCCCCGTCCCGGCCCTACCGCTTGCCAACCAAGCCGCCCACTCGCCGCAGCCGACGACCGCCACGCCCGTCACGCTACCCCAGAAGGCGCCGACGCCCATGCGGCCCAAGACAGGACAAGCAGGACAAGCAGGACAAGCAGGACAGGCAGTCGGGAGTGCCGCCGGCAGTGGGAGCAGCATTGCCGGCTCGAGCTCGCGTGCCGCCTCTCTGTCTGGGTCTGGTGGTGGTGGTGGTGGCCCTGGCAGCCAGAGCCAGAACGCGTCGCCCAACCCCATGACGCCCGTGCAGTCGAGCGCCCATGCCGGGTGGTCGGGCGCCGGCCTCTTTGGCCAGCACACGTTGTCGGGTGGTGGCGCGTCCTTCTTCCCGACGTCGCCTCTGTCCGGGATCGCACGTCCTCTGTCTGTTTCCCAGCAGCAGCCGCAGCAGCATCACCAACAACAGCACATGGGTCTGGGACTGGCTGGTGCGCCGGGCTCGCCGACCATGATGCCGTTTGGCCTCGGCAGCGGCGGCGGCGGACAGCCGCCCGTCACGCTGCCTCCCGGCTTTGGCAGCCAGCCGGGCCTGCACTACGGCGGCGTTGGCAGCAGCGGCTTCCGCAGCGTCACGGGTCCGCCGGGCATGCTCCCGATGCTTTCGTCGTCGTCGTCGGCGTCGTCATCGGCCGTCAACAGCATCGGTCGCGCCGGCGGCGGCTTTGGCCCCATGGTTCCACCGCCGCCGCCGCTTGGGTTTCCTGGACTTGCCAACAACAACATGGGCACGGATGGGTCGGTGGTGACGCCGATTGGTTCGCTGCCGACGGACGGCGGCCACCACACGCACTCGCGGCAGGCATCCATTGGCGGTAGCGGCAGCGGTGGCGGCTTTGACACGGGCTCGTCGCCGGGCGGCAGCGGTCTCGCGTCGCTCCCGACTGGCCGGCCCGCGCCCATTGGCCGGCCCGGCAGCACGGTGCACGGCCAGCGTGCGGGCGCGATCGGGTCGTCGCCGTCGACAGACAGCGGCGACAAGACGGATCCGGGCGGCCCCGCTGGCACTCACACCCACACCCACCACCACGACGAAGACCGACTGGGCTCCCGCGCGCTGCTCGACGACTCCGACGTTGGCCTGGAGGGCGGGTTCGCATCGATGCGGTCCCACCACCACCTGCCGCTGCAGCATGCACGGCCGTCGTTTGGTCCAGGCCCGGCCCCCGGTCCTGGTCCTGGTCCTGGTCCTGGTCCCGGTGTCGACCTGACATCGCCGTTCATGTCGCCATCCTCTGTCTGGGCGCCCCTGCCTGGCCAGCCCGGCCAACCAGGCCAACCGCAACACCCTCAACATGCGCAGCAACAGCAGCAGCAACACCTCCAACACCTCCAGCAGCAGCACCACCACCACCTGGCTATGGGCGGCAGTGCATTCCCGCCACCCCAGGGTGCGTTTGGTGGTGGCATGGGCGCCCCGCCTGGCATGGTGGCACCACCCGGCATGGTGGGACCGCCCGGGATGGTGGGCCCGCCTGGCTGGGGCCTGCCGATGCCGATGGCGATGCCCGCGCCGAGCGCGCTGGGCAGCTCGTTTGGGGCGCTGCCGCACCACGGCGGGAGTTTGGGGCGGTCCACACAGGGCCGGTCCGTGACGTTGCGGCAGCTGCTGTGCCGGGCGTGCAAGGAGCTCGCCGCGGAGGCTGCTGACGCTGACACTGACGCCAAGGACGAGGAGGCCGGCGAAGCGGCCGACGAGGCGGAGGGCGATGAGAAAGGTGAGGGAGAGAAGCCGACCAAGACGACAAAGGCGACGGACGCGGCCCGCAACGCCACCGACGCCCCCGACACCAACGCCTTCCTCCCCATGGACCGCGTCAAGGCCCGCGTCGGCGCGCTGGCCACGCACTTCTTGCCGGGGCCGGCCGTCCAGGACAGCGAGCTCGACCTGCTGTACGACACCGAGGGCAACAGCAAGAACGGCGGCGGCAACTTTGAGGTGCAGCGCGGCACGCCCGCCCACCACCGCGGCGGCAGCGGCGGCGCTGCGTCGCCGCTCGCGCTGGCCGACGGCGCCGTCACGGGCATCCGGTGGGTGCCGGACGCGCAGGGGCTGCTGCAGCGGTTTGGAAGCGGGAGTGCGGCTGGTGGTGGTGGTGGTGGTGGCGACGCGGGCTTTGGCAGTTTCCCGACGGGCAACGGCTTCGGCGGGTTCGGCGGCGGCGGCGGCGGCGGTGGTCTGGGCGGGATTGGCAGCATTGGCTGTTTCGGCAGCGGCCACGGCGGCATCGGCGGCGTCGGTGGCGGGCTGGGTGGCATCGGCAGCTTTAACGGCGCTGACGCGAACCACGGCACGGCGCCCATTGGTGCGTCCTCTGCGACCGGGCCTCGCTAGGTTTCTGTGGGAGCTGCCACGACCTCATCACGACCTCGCCACCACCTTGCCATTGGCCTGTGCCTCTGCATCCGAGTCTCCGAGTCGACCATGTTCGAGGGACGTCGAACTGGGACAGCACCGCAGACAAGAGACAGCAAGAGGGAGAGCGGGTCGGTGAGGACTTGCTGCACCCTTTTTGGTGTCTCTCCTCTGGTTTGTCTGTTCTGGCGAGACGCAGACAATCCCTGGGGCCATCCGGAGGGCGATGGCCTCTATTTTGTTTTCGGACGAGTGTGTACTGTGCCGTGTTTTGCATTTCTTTTATTCTTGTTCTTCAACCTTTTTAGTGTTTTTTTTTCTTGTTTTTATCTCCTGTCTCTCTCTACCGCTGTATTTGCCTTTCTACCGTTTACGAGACATCGTCTTTCATGTTGTCTCTTCATCTTTGTCTGTCCCTTGCTTCCGGAAGATGTCTCGTCCAGGTCGTGGTGAGACGGTCTACGAACGGGCGTTTTTTGAGATGCAGTGGGAAGCATAGAGACAGAAAGCTACTCAATCAAGCAATAGGAAGGAATTGTTCTCGAGCCGAGGTCACGTCTTTGCGTGTCGATGTGTGTGATGTGTGTGATGTGTGATTATGAAGTCAACCTAGCCCACTACGCCCGGAGCCCTATAAGTCACTGGACAGCGGCCATGTTTCAGTACATTGTAGTGGGGAGCCTGGTGGGTGTAAATCCTTCCCCCAAAATACAGCCTGTGCATCCCAGTAAAAGCACTGCACTTACGCCGTATTAGTGCCTTACGGCCTGGTTCGATCGCAGGTACTCGTAGCATCCACAGCGCAACGTCATGGTCGATGATACGTCTTTCTTTTTGCTTTTGTTGCTTTCCTATTACCATTGCTGCATCCTACGTGACGCTATTGCATGTTCATGCTCCAGCAGGCCATACACCGGGGACAGCAGTCAACTCAAAATAGAACAGAGGCTGTCTAGTCAGAGACGCAAAAGCCAAAGAAAGTTGTCTCTTTTCACATCGAGCAGCCGTTTACTCAGGTAATGGATGTGCTGTACCGGTTTACCACTTGCTCAGCGCGGCCATGTCGGCGTCTTTGTGGAACATGCTGCTCTCATATACACAGCGTGGGAAGAACAGAGGCAACTCGTGTCCGATGCGCCCTGCAAAGCCAAAGTCGATGAGAACGATACGGCCCGTCTTGTCCTGCATGAAGTTGCTCGGCTGCACATCGCCGTGGCTAAAGCCTGCGGCGTGGAGCTGCTGCAACGCCGCCGTGGCATCGTCTTTTCGTGTCGCGAAATCGACCACCGGCAGCTTGATGAGCTCCTCCATGCGGAAGCCACAAAGCACGCCGCCGTCCACAATGGGCTCCGGATCCATGCGGACAACGGGCAGATCCAAGCCTCTGTCCACGAGGTCCATGAGGCGGCAGAGGACGGCGAATTCGTGCTGCAGGATACGCCGTGCCTGGTCGTCTGGATGGGCCAGCTTGACCATTGGAAACGCCGGGCACCGGCTTGTGCTGTGCCGCCGTATCGACGCATACGAGCCAAAGTCGACGAGTGTCGAAGCCTTCCATAGAGACGTCATTTCGGGGCTCTGTGGTAGGCGGGCTGCGACTGCGCCAGCATCTGCATCTGCGGCGAAGCGAGGGAACTGCGAGAAGTCGGGATATTGCTGCTTGCCGCGCCAGGTCACTTTGTAGGGAGCGCCTCTGTAGTCGACAATGCACCGGTACGAATCACGGCATTCGGTCCCCAGTGGAGGCGTAATCGGTAGTGCTTCCGCTTCTACTGCGTCTCCCTCGCGTCGACTGCCGCCTCGGCTTGTCGATGTTTGCGAGGATTCCCGATCGGAGGCGGCGGCGGTTGAGGTGCCTTGGAGGTCCGCACAGGCCGTCTCGGCGTAGTCTTCAACCGCATGGTCGTCCAAAAGGGTCTTGGACTCGTCTCTGGCCGGCATGGTTGTCTGTGTTACCTATATTTTTATAAATGGTAATACGTTAACAATAGTAGGCTATCACGGCTTTTAAAACTTACCCGTTATCACAACGCCTTATATCTTAAAGGCCCCCGTACCCTTACTCGTACCCAACGTATACGACGGTAGTAACGACAACGCCGTAAGGATACACGGTGACCTCGATAACGAGTTACGAGCGGAATACACCTTAAATCCATTTTTCGGCCTTTAATTTAAGTGGGATAGGTTACTCGTCGAGAATAAAAGAAACGATACCTTGTCTTTATAAATATATTAAAGTAGAGTAAATATACGACTTAAATAAAGGTAGTTATATAAAAAGACTAAAGTATTACTATTAGATTAAAAGAACGACGTGTAATTAAATAAGTTTATATAGTTATATAGTAATTTACCGTACTTTTCTTTTCCGTCGTTTAATTTTTATTAATAATAGTTAATATAACGATTTAATTTAATTTAATTTAATTTATTTAATCGTTTATTATAAGTAATTATAAAATAAGTTTTTATAATAAATTAGTTAATAAAAAGTATTAGTTTCAAGAACGAAGGTAAGTGTATATTATAATAAAGATTAATTCTTACTTTTTTTTCCCGGTAAAAAAAAAAGAGTCCTTTTATTTAAAAAGAAAGGTTTTTTATTAACGTAACGTTAACGTATAATTAAAGACTAGTTATACTACGTTTTATTATATAAGTTTAATTACTTAATTCGTAACCTTTAATTACGAATCGGTTATAATAATTATCCTTTTTTTTTAATAAATTAAGTTTTAATTCTTTTTACGACTTCTTTTAATCTCTTTACTTTTACCCGGGTAAAAAGTATCGGAAGTTATAACTAGTCTTTTAATTATATACGACGGTCCGTTAATTCGTATACGAGTTACTTTATAATCTTTTATATTATATAATAGTCCGGTCCGTCGGTTATCGACGTAATACGAGGTTTAAAAGTATTAAATACGTTTAAACTATTTATCGTTAAACGTTAATATTTAAATAAATATTCTCGTTTTCGGTTAAATACCGTTTAACGTCGTCGTTTTTGTAAAGTATATTAATAATTATATAATAAATAAATAACGACGAGTATTTACGGGTTATTTTCACTCGAAACGTTTATTTATAAATATCGTTCTTTTTTTACGTATAAATATAAAGTAAGTTATTTAATTAAGTTTTATTATAACTCGTTTTTACCCTTTTTACTTTTTACCCGTTTTTAACTTAACGAACGTTTTTTAAGTAAATTATCTTTTACTCGTAAAAGAATCGTAACTCGTTTTTTTTCCCTTTTTCTTTTAATACTTTATAATATTATCGATTATTTATCGTTTATAAGTCGTTAATCGAACTTTTTTAATAACTTTTTTTTATTCGTTAATATATTATAATTTATTCGTTTAAAAGTCGTTTTTAATTAAATTATTTTTTATTATATTTTTCGAAATACTTAAACGTTATAAATATAACGAAGATAAGTCTTTAAACGATATTATAATAAGAATTTCGTAGTCTTCCTTTTTTATCTCCCCGTTTTTACGTAATAATATAAGTAATTTAAGTTTAACCGTTTAACGTTTATCGATTATATTAAACCGTATATTTATTTAACGTATTATAAACTCGTTTCGTCGTTCGTTTACTCTTTTTTATATTAATTAACTCGTAGTATCGGAGGTTAAAGAACGTGTCCGTATTCGTATTATCGTTTAATATATCGATATTAATTCGTTTATAAGTCGTTCGATAATCGTTAAACTTTTTTAATTTTAGTTTAATATATTACGGTTTATTTAATAAGTAGTTTTACCGTTTATAAAAGAATTTTAACTACGTTTATTCTTTTCGGGTTTATCGTTTAACTCGTTTATAATTTCGTTTATTCCGTTTTTTAAGGTTACTTTTTTTACGTTTCGTTTTTAAGTTATAAATCTTTTAAACTCGAACCGTTTTTAACCGTTTAATAATCTTACGTTTTATAACGTAATTATAAACCTTTTAAGTATTAATCGTTTTTAACCCGTTATAACTCCCGTTTTTTTTACGACTCGACCGTATATTATTAACGATATTACTTCCGTTTCTTTTATAATATAAATCTCGTTTACGGTTTTTTAACGTTTTATTTACGAAACGTCGGACCGTAATACTTTTAACGATATATACTTAAACGAGAATAGTAATATAATAAATAATAAATCCGACGACGAGTCGTTAAGGATTTAAAATAACGACGACCCCGAGTCGGAGTTTATTACCGACCTTTAAGTTTATACGTATATTACTTGTCTTTTTAATACGGTTAATAACTTTTAAAACGTTAACCTTTATTAAACTTTACGTTACGTATATAAAGTAACGACGAGATATTAATAATATTATTATAATCGATTCGTAACCAAAGGTTACGAATTAGGTGACTAGACTTATATAATAAGGTACGGGGTGGTTAATCCTTAACTATACGTTAACGTTACGTTAGTAAAAAACCTTTCTCTTTAAATAAAAGGACTCCCTTCTTCCCTTTAAAAAAAAAGGGTAAGAATTAGTCTTTATTATAATACACACCTACCTTCACCCTCGAAACTAATACTTTTCATTAACTAATCTATTATAAAGACCTATCCTACAATCACTTATAACAAATATAAAGTTTATTATTATTTTTACGAAAAGGTTTTTATATTATTTATAAAAAACGTTCGTATCGTTTTTCGTATTATTATTAAAGTAATCGACCTTTCGTTAAAGTTAAACGAAGAAACGTTTTTAACTTTATTATATATTATAAACGAATTTATATACCGGTTAATAGTATTTATATAAAGTTATAAAAAAGTTTACCGGTTAATTATTAACTTTAATAAAACGGTAAATCGAGTTATTTATAAAGGAATCGTAATAAAGTCGTAAGTTATTCGTAACCGTATCTTTTTTATTATTAATAATAATAAGTCGAACCCCGAACGGTTTTACTTACGACTCGGACCCGGAGATCTTTTATATTAAAAGTAGTTAAAGGATCGTCGTATCTTTTTTAACTTAATCGGTCGGAACGTAATTAAAAAGGGTTTTTCTTTCATTTATATAAAACGTCGTAAACGTCGTTTTAACCCCTCTCTTTTTTAAAACGTTTTCGTCGTATATCGTTCGTTTATCTTTATTAAATCGTATTAAGTATTAATAATAGTTTTTTTTCGAGTTAAACGTTACGAGTGTATAGTTAAGTCGTTTACGTACCGAGTCGTTCTTTATATTCTTTTAATTAAGTAAACGCTTTTAATATATAACGTTTATATATCGTTATAAAGTCGTTATTTAAATCTTTTTTTATTAAGTAGGCGTTTTTAATACGCGTCGTACTTACGTTTTACCGTAAAGTCGTTAACCGAATTTAAATAGTAATTTTATAAATTTACTTTTTTTTTCGTAAAGTAATTTTTTTATATTTTTTTTTATAATCTTAAATAACCTTTTTAATATATTTTATATCCTTTTTAAACACTTACTAGTTATATTTTACGAGTTATTTTACTTATTTTACTAAATAATAGACCTTTTTATTACGTTTCGTTTTATTTTTAATTACTTTTACCTTTTATTCCTTTTAGTTTTTTTCGAGTATAAGTAACGGTATCTTTTTTACCGGTTCTTTTTTTTAAGACTTTTAAGGTTTTAATAAAAAGACCGAGAATATATTATAAATATAGTTATATACTTATAATAACGTTAGTTTATATACTTATAAGTTAATTTCTTTAATAACCTTAAAAGGTTTAATAAATTTCGGTATTATTTTCTTTTTAATTACTTATAATTTAAGATTTTACGTTAATAATACGACGAGATCTTTTACTTTAAAAGTTTTTAATTAATACTTTTTATTATAATATTTTTTATACGTTTTTTACGTTTTTCTTTAATAATTCTTTACTTTTTTTTAAAGGTATAAATTTTCTCGATTTTATTTATAATAACTAGTACCCCTTTTTCGTAAACGTCAGTCTCGACGTTAATATATATATTTAAATTATATCCGTATAATATATTAAAAGGTATAACCTTAGTAGTTACGTTAATAGTATTATTAGTCGTAAACTTTACGTTTTATAAAAGTAACGGTTAATTCAACTACTCGTCGTTAAAGAATATTTTTAAATAATATTTTAAAGTTTAGTTTATACGTTTAATTTATTTATCGGTTTAAAGGTGGTATATTATTAAAAGCCTTTAACGAATTAATAACGTTATATATATTTTTAACTAAAATTAACTTATAAATATACTTCCTTTATTAAAGATAATTCCTTTAAGTGTCCCGTACCGGTTTTTAATCTTAATATATATTATTCGTATTAGTCCTTCGAATATAATAATAGTTAAAACTAAAAGGAAATAATATATTTTCGTGTATCGGTCGATTACTATTAAAGTACTATTTACTAGTTCTTTTTAATAGTAAACGATAAATAATCTTATAATAAAATTTATAAAGATCTTTTATTAAAGTCTTTATAAGATTAGTAAGGGTTATAGTTTTTTATATAGTTTATATTTTTTCGTAACGATTCGTTAATAAATCGGATACGAATCGATAAATTTATATATATTTTTAATTATACTTAGTTAATAGAATTTTCTTTTTATTATTTCCTTCGTTTTAACCCTTTTAAAGTAACCCGTTAAAGGTTTATTATAATATTAATTAAGTATTTTTTAACGTACCGAACTTTTTACCGGGATATAAATATAATAACGGTACTTTAATAATCCGTTTTAGTTTAGTTTTTATTAAAAGTCTCGTAGTTTTCCCGTTTACGTAACGTTTCGTTTCGTTATATAAAACGAATTATTAGTTTATAAGATTAATAATAAGTTTTATAATAAAGTAAAAGGATTTACTAACGTAACCTTCTTTTATATAATTACGGACTATATTAAAGTTTTTAAAATATATTATATTATAAGTA